CCCACCCACCCTGGATGCATGTGGCCGCCGTATCATTCATTCATTCATTCGTTCATGGTCTGTGTGTGTGGTATCTATCTATGTGACTATGTGTGTGCAGCAGAGTTTGAGGATTTTGAGCGTCAGGAGTACGAGAGGAGTATGTCAGAGCTGCCCCGGCAGTCGTCGTCGCCGCGGCCGACCAACAACCAGAAGATCCAGGTCATCCAGTTCAAGGCCGACTACGGCACACCATGGCGGGAACTGGAAGTCGTCACGGGATACCCCAGGTGGGTGAATGGGTGGTGACCTGGGGACGGACGTGGGGACAAAAAAACCACCGGTGACCTACCTGCGAGTAGATGGATGGATGCCATGCATGGGGTACCATTTTCGTGAGCTGAGCCGCTCAATATTGGCTGGCATGTGTTTGTGTCTGTGTCCGTGTATCCTGGCTTGGCTGGCTATGTGCAGGAGCGAGATGCGTGAGTGGGCCCGTCGGTGGAACGCAGGTCGGCTGACGTACGAGTATGAGGAGGGGGACTACGGGTACGAGGAGGGCGGCGAGGAGGGTGCCGAGGAGGACGACACCGAGGGCCAGCCGTCCCTGGGGCTGCCCACCAAGGCCGACTTCCCCGCCCCATCCACCGACCAGAAGCTGGCCGTCGTCAAGTTCCGCGAGGACAACGGGCTGCGCTGGTCGGAAATGGAGAAACTCACGGGGTACACCAAGAAGACCATGGCCACATGGGCCGATGCATACAACAAGGTACGTACCTGCGTTCCCCACGCACATGCACACCATCCCTCCCTCCCTCCCTCATGTCTCTTCTGTGTGTGTGTGTCCTGTCTGTCTGTCTGTCTGTCTGTCTGCAGGGTAAGTTGTACGAGACCCTGGCCGAGGATGATGATTTGGAGGCCACTGTCGGCAAGCCTGCCCAGCTGCAGCAGCCACCCGTCACCGTAGTGTCGGAGAGCAGCCTGCCCACAAAAAAGGCCGCAAGGACCCCCACGGTAACCGAGTGAGAGGTTGACATGAGTTGTACCCTCCCACCATGTGGCTCTTTGGGTTTGTATCAATGCAGGCAGCCCAGAAGCAGGCGGTGATAATGTTCAAGCAGGCCGGCAACAAGAAGTGGGCCGACATGGAACGGCTCACGGGGTACTCCAAGGGAGAAATGAGAAAGTACGTCAGCCAACAGACCAGAGCCGCCAGACAGGACAGGACAGGACATTACGCACCACATATCGATGACCTCACGAGCAACGAAGGAAGGAAGGGAGTGATGGAGTGATGGATGGATATTCGCTGCTTGGTGTGTGCGTGTGTGACCGAATGAATGCAGATGGTCTGAGGAGTACGAGAAGGGTCTCCTGATTGACGACCCCGCCCTGGCCCAGCCACGAGAGGAAGAAGAAATACTCTTCGACGAACCGGGGGTCAGCCGCTCTGCTCACTCCACCGCACACACACACACCACACGCGACGCACCCGGAGGGACGGACGGAGCACACGCAACCCCCACGTATATATATATGCCTGCGGCAGACATGTGTGTCTCGTGTGCCTGCCTGGTGTTAAATATTATTATACTTGGGCAACCATACCATTTCTACCTACGTATGTTATTTATGTGCAGCCCAAGACGACTGTGTATGAGATCGGGAATGTGTGGACCGACATGAGCGCACCTGCCGTCCTCACCGATGAACCGCAGCCCTTCTTCTGGCAAGAAGAACTCTCTGATGAGGTCAGTCAGTGAGTGAGTGAGTGAGTGAGCCAACCACCGGCAGGCAGGGATACATACACCCATGAAGGACACATGCCTTGTCTGTGTGTGAGCGTGCAGGGTGCAGAGGGCCCTGTCCGTCGCGTCTTGATCCCTGGTCGGGAGGTGCCTGAAGAATTCCAACCTGCGTAAATGAACGAACACTGAAGCGACAGAAACTCTCTCGGCTACAGACGTGCCCATGCCATGTGCGCGATGCCCATTCTGCACTGCACAGGTGGGGGTCGGTAACGGAAGCACAAGAGGCAGAGGTGAGTGAATGAGTGAGACGTGCAATGGAGGCCAGACCGACCCCTCCATTTTGATGTGCATGTCTTGCCTTCCTGCCTGCCTTCCTGCAGCTTGTCAACGCAACCAGTGGGGCGCCATCCGCGTATCTCGTAAGGCTCCCTGATAGAGAGACACCTGGCGTGTGGACGACTTGGTCACCTGCTGTGGTCCCTCTGTGGCTGGCCGTCTGGCTGGTTGGGTGCATGCAGTCGTCATCGTCTGTACGTCGGCCGTCGAGTTGGCGGCGTCCGCGCGGGTCGACCATCGTGAGCGGTGTGAGGCGGCTCAGACAACTCGAGAGGGAACGAGAGGCCAAGAGAAGAAGACAGGTAAACATATATGTACTCACAGACGGACGGACAGACGGACGGGCCGTCGGGTACGTACATTCTTTCCTTCCTTCCTTGATTGCTTGCTTGCATTGTTCACTGGCTGGCTGTGTCCGTTGGCAGGTGTTGCTGTCCCAGTTGAACGAGGGCAAGCTGGCGGAGCGTGACCAGAGTGTGGATGTGTTTGCGGAGGAGGGTGTGATCCGGCCGCTGGTCCGCATCTATGACGACCGCACCGAGAAGGAGTACTGGGTGGAGTGGAAGAGGCTGCCCAAGAAGACACGCAAGAGGCGGCGGCAGCTTTCACGCCGCACCGAGCAGCGCCTCAGGCGGGAGCTCACGGCACCATGGCGACAGAACTGGAGTGGCGGACTCGTACTGGGCGTCCTTGTCACCGTCGTACTTTTGAAACTCTTCCCAGGTACAGACAGACACGGATCCAGGGGCAGCAGGGTAGCTATAAGGTAACGTCGCCACAGCCAAGCTGCCGTTGGTCCTTTCATTCTACCAGGTCTCTTGGATGTCGTGCCGATAGAGATCCCGTAAGACAAGACACGCACGTCAACATAATGAATGCATTCACCTGTTGACATTACTTACGCTACACATACCCACTCATATATCCTCGCCTCCTGCCTGCATCTTGCGTGGCTGACTGACTGACAGGGACATCACCGGCACGGTGCGTAAGTAACGACTGGTGGATGGATGGATGGAGGCGTGGCAGGCAGATAGATATATATTATGGATGGATACCGCCTGTCTGTCTTGTCTGTGTGTTTCAGATCGAGACGTCTCCTGCATCATGAACGCGTGTGCGCGTGTGCCCCCCTCCCCTCCCCTGCGATGCGGTCGTGTTGCCTTGCCTCGTAGCGCTTTGCATGTGAGACGTGACGGTGTAGTGGTTGTGGGATAGGGCGAGTGCCGCTGGCTGCTTGCCATTTGTGAACATTGGGTATCAATCGACCGTGGGGAGCCAGCTGTGAGTTTCAGCCATCGATGTGGACAAATAGATATGTTGAGGCGGGTCCGCCCACCGACCCCTCGTCGCGAGTACTCAACACCATTCATTCGGTCTGACTGGCACGTCCTGACGTTGGCTGACTGCACTGACTGACAACACTCAGTAGGCACCCTTCGACCAACCCTAGATAGATCTACGCCCTCTTTGACTCACTCTCTCAGTCACTCATCTGTCTGAGTGGAGGTGACGACCCCGATGGCAGCTGTCTTGGGTCCGTCGCACAGCAGCACGGGCATCGACGGGCACACGTACTCAGGCCGGCACAGAAACAAAAAGTTTATGTGCGCTGTCTCACCAGTCCTGAACGAACAATCATTCAATCAAGCAATGAATCACACCACACAGACCGGTGAGTACACAGGGGCCTTTTCTGTCTCTTCAATGTCGGCTCCCTCCCTCCCTCTATCCCTTGTTTCTTCGTTTGTTGCGCACCTGACGCATTGGGAATCAGTCAGGACACCCGTCACCACCACAGTCTGATCGAGGGCAGGAACAGACAGACAGACAGGGCCAGGCCAGGCCAGGCCAGGCAGGCCCCACACACAGCCAACACATGCATCCATCCATCCATGAATGAATGTCGATCAAACAGTCACTCAGTCAATCGCCAAGGTATGCATTGCATGCCCCCACCTGCCCCCCAACCGACCCTTTTGCCCACCCACCTGTCTGATGGAGTGTAGGTGTACGACATATTCTTTCTTGGGTCTGATGCCGCAGCCCTGTTCGATGACGGTCATGACGGCCTGGAAGGTATAGACGGGCCGCGGCGGGTCGTGGTTCCACTGTGTCAGGTTGAAGGCAAACATACCCGCACGCAGCGCACTGCGACTCGACGACCGCCGCCGCAGACTCCTGTCGTCCTCACCACCCTGGTAATGGTCCTCCGACAAACCATCATCCCAATCGTCATCCGAGTCCAAACTGCTGCCGGTGCTGCCCTTGGACTTCCGCTTGCCCTCCTTGCCGCTCCTCGACGGATCTCGCCACGCACGCCGGCTGGTGGTGGGCGGTGGGGGGCTCGAGTCGGGCACTTGAAGCATCTTGGGAGACGATGGCGGGGGCCCCTCGTCGGGCCGGCCGGCGGATGGGGATGCCGCAGCAGGACCGCTGACCTCTGGTCGACGGGGTGAGCCGGCGGTGTGTTGCTTGGCCCTCCCAGCCGGCTGCCGACGGTCGACGTCTTGGTCTTGTTCTAAGGGGGCTGGTGAGGGAGAGTCATCGGGCTGGGCCCCGTCGAGCGGCATGAGAGGGGGTGAGTCTGGCTCGGGTAGGGTGAGAGCCAGGGGGGTGTAGGCCATGCGCCAGTTGCCCCCAGACTGGTGCCGCCGCGACGCCCCCTCCTTGAAGACGTTGGGTGACGACGGCTGGCTGGACGCCTGGCCTCGCTGCGGGAAGCCGGCGGCGTGCAGGGGGCTCTCGGATGATGGGCCGATGGCTAGCTCACGGCCGTTGGGCTGCTGTGACGCGACGACATTCATGGCCGTCATGGCTGCCAGGAAGCCGCGATTGATGCTCACACCTCCATCAGATGGCGGGGGTGAAGACACTGCGCGCCCAATGGGAGCCGGTGCTGCCGCAGCCGGGGGAACACTCTTTCCCTCGATGTCGTCCTTGTTTGCCGCGTCGGGAGGCGCTGCTTCTTCCTTGGGCTCAGCCGGCATTGTTGGTTGAGTTGGCTCTTGAGTGGGTGTGTCTGGTTGCTGTGCCGACTGCGGCGTGGCATCGGAATGGCCGACAAAGGGAAACGACACCACCGACTCGCCGCCGTCCGTAAACTCGATGGCAAAGGAACTGATTGAGACAGCACAGCCACAGGGAACAATCCATGATCCACTGCCAGGCCTGCCTCTTCCTTCGGTTCACGCATCAGTTGTGTCTGTGTGTACCCTACCACTTCTGCCCAGCGTAGGTCGTATCGACAGGCACTCTGCAAGCCAAAAGAATGTACGTACGAATGACACAGAGGATGGGCGGTGTGTGTGTGTGCATGCAGTATCTATCTATCTCGTAACATCTGCTGCTTCCCTCTAGCTCCTTCCTCGAGTTAGTAAGTGAGTGAGTGACTGGTTGGTTCAACCGACCTGTTGACGTGGATGGATTTGACGAGTATGGGTACCCAGTGGTGAGGTCCACACCGCTCCACAAACGACAGAGGGGACAGACGCGGCGACTGGGACGCAGACGGACGCTTGCCCTTCCGGCCAGTGCTGGGCGGCGGGGGGGCACTTCCTGCTCCTGTTGCTGCTGCTGCTGGTGGTGGTGGTGTCTCGTCTTGTTGCTGTTGTTGTGTGTGTTCGTCGGTCTTGGGTCGGTCGTCGAGCTCATCGTGGAGCGCCGTGAACTCAGAGTGGGTGAACGGACCGCAGTGCAATATGTCCTCTGAAAGCAGAGGAGAGAGAGAGGAGAAGATTGAAGTATGTACGTACGTCCGTGGCTCAGGTAGGTGTGGGGCATCCATCCATCTGCACCGGTGGTTACTGTGCTTACGTTTTGACACACTGCCGGTGAGCAGCAGCCCGCCTATGACGATACCACTCACACCTGAGGGAGACCACACGCCAGCCAACGGACCAACGTCACACATGTTATGGGACGATAGATACGAGTGAGGGAGTGACGTGACCCAGCCGCTGGCTCCAGCGGCTGCCCCCTCGGTGACTGACTGACTGACTGACCGTGCACATTGGGGTATATTTCGTCAATGAGGAACTGGGCTGGGTGGGCACGGCGCCTCTGCCACTCAACCGACGGGGGCACCACACGCAAGAAATTGCGGAACAAGTCAACCCCAGTGCCATCCACACACGATATCTGACACACACGCAGACGGCAGACACAGAGACTCGTCCTCCCTCAGTCCACATCTGTTTGTTTCCCAGGGCATGTGTGTGTGTCTTATCTTACGCACCCACCCGGAAGACCGGAATGCAGTGAGGGTTGAGTGTGAGCTTGATGTCCCGATTGCCGCCGCCCGTGTTGTCCCCCCGTTTGCGGTGTTTGTTGACTACCAGAGGCGATGCCGCCCTGGCATTGGCCGTCGGGGACGGCGGGTGTCCGTTGAGGAGCTGCTCGGCCGAGGGTGAGAGGGGCAGGGTGGGGTGGCCGCCGGGCACGATACCGCTCACGGCCATCAAGGGGCTGGGGTGGGACGCGCCGGGGGGGCCGCGCGGTGGCGCTGTGGTGGTGGCGGATGAGCTCACTGACAGCTTCCGCAGCACCGAACTCAGCTGGGTTGACGACCGAACGTCATACGGCGTCAACCCCTCGGCTCTCAGCAGCACATGCACCTGCAGACATTGTCACACACGCGCGTCTGTCCTGCATTGCATGCACACAAGGCGGGGCGGCGATCTGTGTGTATCCGTGTGCACCTTTTTGACGGCAGCGGCGAGTTGTTGGTCGGTGAGTCTGTCGACCTTGGTGATTCCAACGATGAGGGGGCACTTGAGGGAGCGGGCCATCCGCACGTACGACTGGTTGACATCCTTGATCATGCCACTGCCCGATGAGGGATGCTCCGGCTCATTACCCCCACCTGGGGCAGCGGCGGATGGTGGGGGCCCCTCTTCGCCCTCGGTGTGAGCGTCGGCCGTTCCGCTGGTGACAAGGGCCTCGGCCGAGATGACCAACAGCAAATAATCGGGGCTCTGACTCAACACACCTGCACACACACGCGCGGGCGACGTGTGTGTATGATGGAGAGGTCATCCATCCATCCGTCCGTCCATTCCATTCGGTTCCAGTCAGTGCGTCCCACCCACCTTTGAGTGTGGTTTTGGAGTATTTTTGGTGTCCGGCCAGGTCGATGAGTGTGAGTAGCTTGGCCGAGTCGTGGATGATGTCGTCCTCACTCATGGAACGCAACTTGGACGAACAATTCACCAGCCGACCTGCACACACATGTTGGTTGGGAAACCCACACATGGATGGATGATCCATGCCAACAAGAGGGCCCACCGCAGCATAATCCGATATTGTTTGTTATCATCTCTTCTGCGTGTGTGTCTTGCCTTGCCCGTGTGCAGTGCACGTGTCTACATGTGTATGCCTGCGCACCTTGGTAGTCGAATCCGATGAGGTGTGAACTGATGGATGAGGTCCGCCCGTGCAGCACCTCGTGACGATGACGATACACACGAACCTTACCCCTGTGCACACACACCACATCATAACATAACACAACACCAACACACACTTTCTCTCTCCGGATGCTCTGCGTAGGCCGAGTGTGTGTGTGTGTGTGTGTGTGTGTATGTGTGTGTACCTGCCGTTGTCGAGCATGTTGCTGGTGAGCACCCCCACCAGGGTGCTCTTGCCGGCCTGGGAGTCACCGACGACTGCCAGCCGTATGTCGACTCCTTGCACTGCGCTCGTGTGGTGCCACTGAATATGCACATCAGCGATCTGAGCAGCCAGCACACACAGGTAGGAAAGACATATATGCAGCGCCATCCATCATACTTACGGGAGGCAGTCAGTGTCCATGTTATGTATGTAATTGTGTATGTGTGTATGCGTGCAATGCATTGTATGGTGTGTCTGTCCGCACCTTTCCCTCGGCCCCCTGGGTACAGCTGCGGATTTCAAAATCGGCATTCAGCTGATGGGCCATCTATACGCAGGTTGGCACACAGACACACAGGCACACAGACAGACGATGTCGGCGACCATCCATCCGTCCATCCGTCCGTCCATCATCCACCTCTCTGTGTGCGTGTGATTTCACTGCGCTCTCTCTGGTTACCTGTTGTATGGTTGCGAGTGTTTCCTGCAGGTCCTTGTCGCTGAGCCCCTTTGGGTAGCCGTTGTCCTCCACACCCACCTTGTAAAAGGCCTCACCATTGCCCTCCTCCAACCGATACTGGGGGTGGTGTGGTTCACACACACATAACACACAGCCACACAGACATAATCAATTGATCGACACCGCCTCTCTGTCTGTCTGTCTGTCTGTCAGTCTATCTGGCTGACCTTCATTTGTGTGGTGAGGTGCTGGAATCTTAGATCCGACACATTGCAGAGGCGCCACTTGTATTCTGTGTCCCCTTCATCCTCTTCTGGCGCCAGCACACCGCTGCCCGACTCATCAACAGCTGCAGCATCACCAGACATCCCCGCGAAATTGTCAACCAACCAACACTGATGTCAGCCAATGCGGCAAGATCTACATCGCCGGACTCATCGACACGCCCTCTGCAGGGGGGTGGCCGAGGAACGACTTCAACGATATGAATCTAAGCTCGCAGGTCGTCTGAGATCGCATATCGTGAAGCGAACAAGAAAGGGAAGGGAAGCCTTACTTCTGCTTCACTGATCTGTTCTCTATGTCTTTATCTGGGTATTTCTGCGTGTCGTTATTTATTACCTCGTGCTCAGGATGCGCTCCCACCCACGCGGCCTTCCTGGACCGCGGCATGACAAGACTGATGCCGAGGCTGACGCGGACCAGGCATCCTCATGCGTCAACAGCCATTCATCCGACGGCCTTACAAAGAGCGGCGATGCCTGTCACATGCCTGCGAGTCAAAGACTCTGACATGCCACCGGCGTTTTTGGAGAAGGAGCGGCAGGCTCAGCCATACCGGCCACTCCGGCTGGCCTTCTACGCTGCCGTGGCCGCTCTCTCACTCATTGCAAGCGCCATTTCAGCCGCTGCTTTCTTCAATGTTGACCCAGCTGTGGAGCTTCGTGACAGTCTGGATCTTCCCAACCCGATAGTGAGTGCGGCTGTGTGCGGCATAGGGGTGGGGCTCATCAATCAAGACGTCAAGGATCGAGCCAAGGAGAGACGCAAGATGCTGCGAGAGATGCAGCGGTCTGAACGGCGGGCGATGAAGGAAACGTCCAAGGCTCAGAAGAGCAGATTGCCTCCGGCGCTCGCAAGCCGCGCGCAAGAGGGCGGCAGGGGCTTTGCGGACACCACTGCGGACCGAGGCGCTGACGACACCGAGGCGGTCGGTGCAGCTGCTGCCAAGAACGAAGACGCGAGCAGAGTGTCATCTGACCAGCAGCCCGGGCCCTTGAGTGGGCTGCAGAAGCTGGTTGACGAGGCAAACGAGCAGGGGAGGGTGCAGGCGTATATGCTCAATGATGCTCTCGAGAAAAGGGGATTGGTGAAACCTCTGGAGAGGGAAGCCGGTGGTGAGGGTGGGGGTAAGGACCCAAGGAAAGACCAGCGAGAGTAGGGAGGGGTTGGGGACCGAATGCAATGCAATGCGTGTCACTGATGGATACGATACGATACATGCATACCATAGCATACAGACATACAGACACGCTGTGGACAGATTGATTGAACAAGCTTCATCCCACTGCACTGGCATTCCATTATTGTTATTATCGCCTTACAGAACAGAAGCAGTCCGTCCCACAGGAAGCGAAGCACCGCCACACACTTGTCCATCCATCCATCCATCCATCCATCCAGCGTCCGCTAAATCCCAGGGAGGGAGGCAAGACAACAGATCCCGTAGAGAATGGTACTGACAGGTTTCTTCCATTCAATAGCGTCCTTGGTGTCGCCTTGCCGAATCAATCAAGTCACAGGGCTCTACAAGTCAGTCCCACACACAGATACACACCATACACACTACTATAGATCCTCACTCTATGTATGGTCAACGTGTTTTGAGTCATAACCGAACCATTTGTCCTGCTTCACCCCCGTCGACGCAGTTGGTGTCTCCGGGGCTGACGTTGATGCCCCTGGCGTTGCTGCTCCCGATGGCTGCTGTTCCTGCTTTGGTGGTGGTGGTTCCGTCCTGTCAGTTTGTGTGGTGGCCACATGGTCCTTGTCCTTCTCGTCTCCCGTAGCGGGGTTGTTGCTGCTATCACCCACACCCGCCTTCACACCAGTGGGCTCGTCGCTCTCCGCCTTCTTGTCCTCCTTGTCCTCCTTGTCCTTCTTGCTAGACTCGCCTCCGCCTTCAGCTTGTTTTTCTTTTTTGGGCCCAAAGACTCTCTTAAATGCATTCTTGATTCTTGTCCCAAGGCATAGCTCTTCGGGGCTCTTGTCCTCACTGCTCCCTGGCTTCTGCTCTCCTTGGGTGGGTGCGGCTGCACGATCATCTTGGATCTTCTCGATCTTCATCTGGTACGTGAAGTTCAATTCAAACACTTCAGGACGATCCGCCGCATTCGGCTCAATCCACACGAACGTCGACCCGTAACCTGCCAGGAAACATACATAGCAAAGCGAAGCAAAGTAAGGCCGCGTGCTGTACACCAAGGAGAGATGTCGAGATTTGTGTCTGTATGTATCTATGTGTGTACGCGTAGGTGGACAGAGACACACTGTCGTGAGTGAAGCGTCCCTCCCTCGCTCCGTCGTACATGCCATGCGTACGTACATTTTCCCTTGGCTCCCTCCTCTCCCTGCGTGGAATCTTTTTGGCATCGAAATGAGCAGCAATCCTCATTTGCGCTGCAGGGTGCGCCGTGATGGCTGCATCCAGCGGATGGAAGACAATGGAAGTCCCGTATGTTTGTGGGTCTGTCTGGTGGGGCAATCGAGTTGCAGTGTGCGGGGTAGCACACATCCACGCGAGGCGGCAGCTGCTGGCCGTCCTCTGCATGGGCCTCCTCGGGACTCACAGACACACCACACTTCTGACCAATGTGGGGTGCGCCTGCGTGCAGGCCCACACAGACCGACAGACAGACAGACAGAGACAGAGAGACAAATGGATTGCCGATTGTGGATGGCTGGGATCCATCCATCCATACATTCTTGGCTGTGTGCGAATGCCCTGAGTGTGCGCGAGCAGCAGATTTCGTGGCCCTTGTCTGTGTGCGGCCGGAAGCCGCCCGGCACGCAGCACGTGAACTTGACACACTTGGTGGGATCCTGCTCGTCCACCTTAATGCACACCGCGTTTTTGGCCCCACCCTCCTTGTGCGGATAGCCACAGCAGAGGTTTGACTTGTCCATCTCCTCTGCCGAGAAAGACAGGTCTGTCTGACACTCCCGGCCCTTGCTTTGGTGCTCTGCATCAGAACCCCTCTCTGAGAGCGAGACAGACAGACAGAAGCCGGTGGGCCTTCGGGGGAAGATGATGGCTCGTTTCTGCTTTCACCAGCCTGCTGTTGCTGCTCCGCTGCCGACGTGTCGCTGCCGCCTTTCATTTGCAGATTGGTGTCTGTCCTGAAGCTGAACTTGTACCCCTCAAGCTGAGGTGGACTAGCCTCGTTCTCCGTCACGAACACGCTGGTGTCTCCAACACCTTACGGACGAGACAGAAAGATGACACACACGTAGATGCATACAATATGTAGATGCATACGCACGCACACACGACGTATCGATGTAGATCGTCTATGTGTGCAGTCGGCCGCGTGCCTCACGTACTCACTGACATTTTTGCTCTTTGCAGAGGAAGCTGCAGCACTCCCAGTGACGCGAGCAGCTCTGGCCGCCGTTCTTGCAACCACTTATTGGCGCACCTGGACAGAGAGACATGTAGACACAAAAATACATATGCAAGGACAGGCAAAGCATGCAGCCACCTCAGCCCCGGCTTGTTGCTCACATACAGCGGTAGTCTTCCATTGTGCAGACCCCAGCAACGCAGGAAGGATCCCTCTTGCCCTACAGACAGGCAGACAGACACAGGACATCCAGCCGGCCCTTGCCGCTGGCTGCGTGTGACGCGCTGGTTCGTCTGACAGCAACCTTACACACCTACCTACCGTCTTCGGATGACACCGGTCGCCGACTGCGTGAAGGCATTGACACGTGGAATTGGACTTGCACTCCACTGCGCGGCTGCAGCACATACTTTGCAAAGCGGATGGGTCAGCTGTCTTGTCCTTGGTGAGTCTGAGCGGGTCAGATCCTCCCGGGAGACAGCACTGGAACTCCGCACACTCCGACCCATCTTGACCGTATCGAATGCACACTGCGTGTTCCTTCTTGTCGCCATCATCCCGGGCGATGCAGACCTTCTCACACGGCAATCCGCCTTCCTGGGACATCTGCTCTTGTGTGAAAGTAGGACAAGGGCCCGGGACATCATGCCTCAAAGCCCGCTGCCATTCCGCGTTCCGCCGTTCCAGTGTCCGTGACCGGCGTTTCACCAAGACCGTAGAGGCTGCCCTGTAGAATCGCATCCGCTGCCAGCCGGCCACGCCCATTATGGGGAACACCACAGCAACGTAGGTGGCCTTGATGCAGCACAGCAGACGCATTCCGGGGTGCACATGCACTGGCAGCTACATGGGGGCGGGATGTGGGCTCCTAAGACAGACTGAGACTGCGAGGAAAGAGGCTGGATGAGCATCATTTTGCTGCTGTCCTTGCTATTTGCATCTCAGCATGCAGGTGCTCTTGACGTGTTGAGACAACAGCTGGGACAAGCGGCCCCAGATCAGAGTTCAGAAGCAGTGGAGACCACCCAGCAGGAGACGCCAAGTGTGGAGCTGCAGCTTGTAGCACCTTTGATGGAGCGAGAGGTGTCTATGACTCCTCTAGGGAGCTCCCACAGCCGAGTGCCGCCGTACACGCGCGGCACCTATCCGCTATCATTCTTGGCGGCTGTCAAACGTCTGGTAGGAGCCATTAATTATCCATGTAATCCATATAATTATCTTTCAAACTACCATCAGGTGAGGAGGAGCATTCTCGAGTCTGTCGAAGGCGGTCGGGTGTATCAGAGACTGATCAACGCCCGTAAGAAGACTCGGCAGCTCTCAAGAGACATGGATAGCATCTTTGACAATTTGGCCCTCTATGAGCGTCAAGGGCACGCAGGCGAGGTGAACGTCCCTGTACGTTTCCTGGCCGGGAGGGGTAAGGCTCAAGCAAAGAAGAAGGAGGAGGAGAAAATCAGCGCTGCGGAGGAGGACCAAGTCGCGAAGCTAGCGGACAGTCTTGGGGCAGCGATTGAATCCCGAGACAAGGAGAAGATAACTGCTGAGGAAGAGGAGGGAGTCGAGAGGCTGACGGACAGTCTTGGGGCAGCGATCCAATCCCGAGAGCAGGAGAACATGAGCGCTGAGGAGGAGGAGGAGGAGGAGGAGGGAGTTGAGCATCTGGTGGATAGTTTGGCGGCCGCGGTCGCTCGACACAAGGGAGGTGGAAATGACAGTGGGGAGAGGGAACGCAGTGCCGACAACACTGACAAGGACGTAGACCGTCTCGTAGATGTGCTGGCCGACGTGATGGCCGCCAACAGGGCCTCAAAGCGGGGTGGTAGCCCGCAGAGCTTTACCAACATGACCGCCGTAAGTAAAAGTGACACCAACGCTCACTCACGTGGTACTTACTGTACATGCAGCCATTGCATGCATTGCCTACCTATGTATGTACGTACTTGTGCGTCGGTTGCTGTTTCCTTTATTGTGCGTCTCGCTTCTCAGTCGATGGCTCATGCTGGTGTGGCCGCCAGAGTGCTGCTGGATCTGCAGAAAGCCCCTTGCAGCCAACTCGCATGGCACGCCGTACGTGAGACGGGCACGTCAACTGTCGACACGCAAGTGAGTGAGACACGGGCCCTTCTCCCCTCCCTCCCTCCCTCCCTGTATCTATCTCTGTATGTATGTATGTATGTATGTTCATGTTGGTGTGGTGTGTATGCATTGCAGGTCCTGCAGCGCTTCGCGTCGTCCCTGGCCACATCGATGGCGAAAGGGCTCCCCCTGCCACACACAAGCCCTGCCACAAACAAAAAGAGGCTGGACAAGAATGCCTTTATGCGGTGCTGAAACAGTGCAACCACCGTGGCGTCTGACGATTGTAAGTCCGAAAAGAGGCACGCGGCCGGCACCCTCGCGATCGATCGATTGGGGTGTGTGTGTGTACAGGTCATTGGGTGCATGTCATGCGAGACACCCTGGCCTCTGTGAAAAATGAAGATGCGTGGATGGCCTTGTTGCAGGCCGCTGAGAGACACACTGACGCCGATGTTTCTCACCCTGCCTCCCGTGCCCCCCCTGTCCTGGCGCGTTGGCGCTCGCCGCCACACAAAAAACCCACACCGTCCAGAGGATCCTCGACAACGCCGCCCGACGATTATCACAAAGACCCACACACGACGCCAGCCTGGTGCAGGCCTGGACGCGCCACGCGGGCAAGTTCGTGTCCACAGATGGGCCGCCGTCACCAATCGGTGCCCACGGGGCTAAAGACAACAATCTGTCGTCACGAACTCAACAGCTTTCGGAGACACATGGCGCAGTCCCTCGGCTCATCGTGTCGCCTCGGCCAGTGGATGGTGCCCTCCTCCTCGACTTGGCCCCTGGCATAGTGGACGCCATACGAGCGCATTACCTTGGCCGGGGAAAGATGGATAGTCTGCCGCACAAAGTGTCGCTGCTGCAGCTGGCGGCGGAGGACGACACAGTACCGCATCAACGAAAGGTAGGTAGGTAAGTACCGACCCGACCTGGGCTGGCTGTGGCACCTGCGTGTAGGAGTCGAGTGGTATTTCTTTGTGCCTCTTAATTTCTTGACAGGTCATCGAAATGTTTCTGGCCAAATTCTACGGGGCTGACCAGCCACGACGCCGAGCGAAGAAGATACTCGACAAGGGGAATGACGAACGCAAAGACAAGAAAGAAAAAGTCAAAGAGGAGACCAAAGACAAGGATGACGAGCGCAACAAAGCGGTCGACGAGGGAAGCAACCGACCAACGACGGGCAGCAGGACACCGAAGTCGCAAGATACAACGGCCCCACGGCGAGAGCAGACGCCAGCAGCAGCAGCAGCAGCAACACGAGAGACCACCCAACAGGAGACGCCGCATGACCAGGGCAGTGGCAGCGATCTGTTGCGGCAGCTGGTGCGGGAGATCCAGAGCTTCATCAGAGAGGAAGTGAGCAAGGCGTTAGGAGGGCAGCCATCGATGGCTGAGAGAGTGAGACGAGCGCGAGGGCGGCTGGAGACATCGGGTGAGCAGTCTGCATATACAGAAGATGATATAATGAAGCTTCTCAAGGGTGCCACCATGCGAGATGAGCCTTGACGGATGCATGCATGCCCCCGTGGAGGAGGCCGGCCGGGACACGCTTTGGTCTTGTTTGGTGGGTGGATGGATGAATGCGGGTGTCTCTGTCCGGCCGGGGTTGTTTGTATCTCCCGCTCACCTGCACCGCACTGTCGTTTCTGACCCCTGTACAGTACTTGCTCAATATGACCCTGTCTGCAGACAGACAGACAGAGACAGACAGACATGCCTGCACAGAAACTTCAGGATGGGAGGGATGCAATCCATCATGTGAGGGAATCGCGTCGTCGGCCATACCAGACTGAGAATACCAGATCCCATTAGAACTCTGAAGTCAAGCAAGTCTATAGGGCCGGTCAAGTACCACTGTCGGGGACGGAGTGGGAACAACTCGGTGTTGACGTCCTATTTCCAACCACTCTCCAAGTCTCTCATGTCGGCTGGATGCACTCATCGTTTGTCTGTATGCATAAAAGCACTTGAATACATCCAGGACAACTGCTAGCTGTTGTCATTCGTCTGTCGATACGTCGCCTCAAACACGGCCACACAAATGGGGCCACATGGTGGGTGCCACACACCCCAGTGGCACACACCGCACTCATGCAATGCAATGCAATGCAATCATAAACCGACCGACACTTGCGTAGATAGATAGATGCGCACAGACACACACACACACACACACACGTGTGCAATGCCATAAATGCATGTGGATGGATGGAATGGCTACATGACACCCCCCACATGTGCCGGCATCGCATCCGTACACACACTCTGGCCGATCCATCCACCACTCCCCCACCCCACCCCTCACTCTTCTCTAGAGCCAGCTAGGTGGTAGCGCAGCTACAGGTTGGCGGATTTGTTGCGGGGGATCAGCGATCTCTTCATGATGTCCTCCTCGTGGGCTTTGTAGGTCTTCGCATCCAGAATCACCACGAATCCCATATCCAAATCAAACCTGCACACGGACGGGAGGGACCAACACATGCATGTGCGCACACACACACATACACACACATACTCACATCACATCAAAGATCGACAATATGAACTTGCTGTCCATGCGTGTGTGTCCATGCACATTAGGTATGTGTGTGCGTACCGGAGCCAGGGTTCGGTGTTGTTTTCGACTAGGTCCACGAGGTGGCGGAGGTTCTTGACGGGAGTGCGGTTGAACTTCTTCAAGATCACCTGACAACCACACACACCACACACACACACACGCACGGTGAGAATGTCTGTCTGTCTGTCTGTCTATTTGTCGTGCGCGGTGTGCGTTGCGTTGCGTAGGTCCGTACGTTTCTGATCTTCTCGAAGCCTGCTGTGGATTCGTGGGCGAGTACGTGTGAGAGCAGCACCACCTGACCGCCAGGCTCCGTCAGATCACGGACCTCTCGCCACATATGGATCAGCGGACCCTACACACACAACACAACACACGCCGCACCGGTGGTGTGGTGTGTTTATCCCTCCCTGCCTGCCTGCCCCCACTGGCTACCCCCACTGGCTTACGGGTGCCTTTGTGTCGAATGTGCTGGCTCCATATTCATACTGAAGGTAGGGCTCGCTCAGCACCACAAACACGCAACCGCCAACTATCAAGTACTCGGGCGTTGTCGGGTCCTTCAGATGCGCGGGGACTTGCAGCTGACACACACGCACACGCACACATGAACGCACCGCACAGGTCGATGGATGGATGGATGGATGCAGGTGGGAGGTGCACAGGCGGCCACCTGCAGTGTGTCGATGGGGAGAGTGACGGTGTGTATGGCGCTTTCGCGCATCAGCACTATTTCAGCTTTGTCGCCCACAAACTTCTGGGCAAACAACCAGCCGTAGTTCACGCGCTCACCAGAGCTGACACACGACAAGTACACACGACACGAGCAGTCCACAGAAATGTGTGTGTGTGCACACGTGTGTGTATGTGTGTGTGTGTGCTGTTGAATTGCTCACGGAATCTGTATGGTGGCGTCTAGATTGATGTCGTGGTTGTCGACCTGCAGTATGATGTCGTCGAGCTTGATCAGACCCGCAGCTGGCGACGCTGCATGAACCTGAACACACACACACACACGGGATTCACCAACCAAGAGACAGACAGGCAGACAGACAGACAGGCAGGCAGGCAGAGGGCAGCAACCCCAGGTGGCTGACCTTGCTGACGATGACGCCGTGGTGTCCTTGCTTGTCGGTGAGCCCCAGTGCGCGCCGCATGTCCTGATTCTCGAGCGTCTTGACGGAGAAGCCAGGGTCCCCGAAGCCCGTATAGCGGCCGTTGCGTTGGCAGTCGGTCAGAAAGTGCTCCACCACACTGATGGGGATGACGTACCCGATGTTCTCGACATCCTCTGATGGATGGATAAATGGATGGATTGACACACACAAAGACACGTATGTATGTATGGGTTGATGCCTGCAGGTGGGCGGGTCGGTCTGTCTGTCTGTCTCTCTGTCTGTTGTGGCGGGTGGTTTGTGGCGGGTGGTTTGTTCTCCACAGACCTTCCTGCAGAGATGAGAATGCGATGCCGACACACTCCTTGTTCTTGTTGAGAGCCGGGCCGCCCGAGTTGCCTGGCGGATACGAGACAGGCACACACACTTCACACACATGGACAGGACAGTAGTACATACAGTCAGTACCTGGGTTGATGGCGGCGTCTGTTTGTATGACAAGGAGCTCTGCCGACATGTTGTCGTAGGGCATGGTGGTGATGCGCGACACCACGCCCTGTCACATACATTCACACAATACATACATACCATGCCTGCCTACGTCGGAAGGACGCCCAGCCAGCCCAGCAGACTCCCATACATGTGCCCTCCCTGACCGACCAGCGTCACAGAGGTGTTGTCGCCGCCAGTAGGGAAGCCAACCACAGTGACGGGCTCCTCCATCGCAATCGACTGCGTGCAACGCACCGGCTGGAGGCCTAAACACACCCATCACACACACACACAGGCAGGGAGGCAGGCAGACAGGGAGGGAGGGAGATGGTACCACCCACACCACCCCACACCGCGGCAAGCCAGTCAGCAAAGCGTGCATGCCATGTGTGCAGACCAGACCTTGCCAGAAGGTCGTGTCCTTGACAGTGAGGAGGGCCAGGTCGCAGTCGGGGCCCACGAACAGCACCCTGGCCTCGTACTTCTTCGGATCCGTCTTCTTCTGAATCACACACACAGAGTACAGCACAGCACAGAAAAGGTGCAGAGCAGATCGACAGCCGGCCATTACATCATCCTATCCGGGTGTGTTGTGGTGTTGTACCTGCACTTGCACGAGTTTAGCGTGTTCCACGGCGTGTGCATTGGTGAGGATGGTGGGGACGTGGTCGATGACGCCGACCTTGGCCTCGCCCTCGTCGCCAGCACCACCAGTGTTCATCTTGTCCTCCCAACCCTCAGGGACGCCTACACACACACACACACACACACACACAGAGGGAGGGGTGTCGATCGATCTGCCTCTGTCGGTGTGCGTGTCGCGCTTACTGTATACGAATCCTGTGGCTGTGCTCTGGAACTGCTTGAGGTGGGTCCACGGCTGGCCGTGGCGTGGAGGCCCCTGCGCACATACACACACACACACACACCAGCGAATTCACCAATTCCACCCCCCCTGTTGATAGATCCATCCATCCATCCATCCATCCATCCCATCCACCCGATGGTGGCCAGGCCCCTTGACTGAGTAAGTCACTCACTCACGTGTGTGCAGTGGAGTTTGAGGATGGAGGTGTGGGTCTGCGCCAGCCCCTCATCCGCATCACAGTCCGACAGGTGGGACGAGGCATTGCTGCGCCGCTGGTGCAGGGAGAATACTTGCAAGTTGGACGCCATCAGACCCTCACCGAATTCATTGCTCGTGTCGTGACGCGGCTTACGGGCCAGATTGCCCGCAGTCTTCAGCGGAGAGGCTGCGGTGGCCACACACACAAATATCGAGGGAGGCATCACATTTATTCTGTCGCCTGGGAGCCTAGCTATATGTGGTTGTGCCCCAGCAGCGCGTCCTCACCAGGTCGCTTCTGTGGCGGTTTCTCACCTCCATGGTGAGCAGTACTCATCAGCTGCCAATTACCAAAATCTATCGAACGAGGACGAAGATCACCACGCTGATGAGCCCTTCCCTTCCCTCCCCTCCCCTCCCCTCGTCGAGCTCGCAACTCGCGGCGAGGCAAAAGAGGAGAGGAGTTGGTGTGCCCTGCCAGCTCTCACTGCCCACCCGCTGCCCACCTCTCGGCGGACACAACCCGGCCGCTGCTGGTTTGTTTGCATCACATCACACCAACAGCTGTCTGTGTGTCTGTACGTGCGGTGTGCGTGAGGAGTGAGGGATGGCGTCACAGAGCAAGGAGAAGCCCAAGACGCCGGCGGAGATCCTCACCCATGCCCGCAACCAGGCCTTTCGCGGCGGCATCGCCGGTGCGAGTGCTCAGGTCATCAACGTGCTGTCCCTCATGTGGCTGCGGACCACCATGAATTATCAGTATCGGTACGGCAGCAACACCTTCCAGGCCATCGGACACCTCTGGGCAGAAGGTACACACACACAGATCAACGCCATGTGGCATTGCAACGGACCAGTGTGTGCGTGTGTGTTGTCTGCACCCCACCCATCCCAGGTGGGATCCCCCGTTTCTACCGGGGATTGGTGCCGGCGTTGATGCAGGCCCCCCTCTCGCGTTTCGGCGACACGGCGGCCAACGTGGGAGTGCTGGCCCTCCTCGACAACACCGAACAGACCAAGAACATGCCCGTGGGCATCAAGACGGCACTCGCATCCTGCGGCGCCGCCTTCTGGCGGCTCTTCCTCATGCCCATCGATGGTAGGGACATGACACACATACATGCGCACAGTACGGGTGGGCTGGTGGGCTGGTGGGCTGGTTGGGGTCAGAGTGCCCTGACTGACGGCCTTGTTTGTGTGTGATTGATTGGTTGGTATCAGCGTGGAAGACGGTCAAGCAGGTGGAGGGCGGCGAGGGGCTCAAGGCACTTGTCGGCAAAGGTACTTGCTTGACACACATGCCCAGCAGACCACAGGAGTGATTGATTTGGTGTGCTGTGGATGGTTGGTCCATTGACTGCTCCATGCATGCTGCAGTTCGGACTCACGGCATCACCAAGTTGTACCACGGCAGTTTGGCAGCGATGGGTGCCACGTGGGTGGGGCACTACCCGTGGTTCTTCACCCACAACTACATGTCCACTCACATGCCGCAATTCGACTTCTTATACGGTCGGTACACACACACACATATACGTACTTGGGCAGCCACACATCTATATGTCAGTCATGTCCACCTATACAGCTGTACAATCAATCACCTGACTACACGTGTGTCTTGTCTTGGATGTGTGTGATGTGGTGTGGTGTGTGTGTGTTTAGGCAAGTTCGTGCGGAATGCGGTGATAGGGTTCGCGTCGTCTGTGGTGTCGGACACGTGCTCCAACTCCATCCGAGTCATCAAAACCACCAAACAAACCTCCACAGTAAGACCACACGACCTATCTCACCACACACCAACGATCAGATCAACCCATTCCTCTCTCTGTGTGTATGTGTTGTGTTGCCACCCACCCTCTGCAGGTGCCGTTGTCGTATCGTCAGGCGGTGATGGAGGTGGTCAACAAAGACGGCATTCTGGGGCTGTTCGGCAGGGGACTGGCCACACGAATTCTCACCAACGGACTACAGGTATACACCCACACGCCCACCTGTCTGTCTGTCTACTCACATAGCATAGCCAAACAAAACACGCGCAACTCAACTGCATCCATCGTCATTCGGACCCCCGTCTGGTCCGCCTGTCTGTCTGTCTGTTCTTCGATCATGAATGCAGGGCATGTTGTTTTCTGTGGGTTGGAAGGCCATTCAGGAGATGCTCAACAAGAGGGCGGGAGACACCAAATGATAGATAGACAGACAGACACGTGAATGCATTCATTACGTGTACCCATGTGTGCGTGCCGTCAAGAAGCAAAGGAGCGGCGCGGCGCTGGGGAGGGGTGTATTTATTCGATTTTGATCTGCCTGCATCCCTCCGCCTCTCTTGTCTGTCTGTCTGTCTATCTATCGTGTCTCTCTCCTTTCCTCTGATGTACCAAAATGGCACTTGGAGGCACACCGATGCACTCAGTCATGCCGGGTTGCTCATGTGGGCAAGTCGGGGGCGGGTGGATGGACGGAGGGCTGGCTGATCGACTGACGTATGCCTGCCTGCCTGCCTGCCTGCATGGATTGTTTCACGCGTGTCGGCCTGCGTGTCTGTGTGTGCCGGCCGGCCGCCCTTCCCCGCCCGACTGCTTGCCTGTGTAAGGGAATATTGAATGAAGTGTGTGCGAGTAGTTTGCAGTCCGAAAACCGTGCTGCGAGCCACGGCCGTGCTATGCATGTCACCCTCGAGCCATTTTTTCCACATGTATCCTACCATGCATGGATATGAGTTGGAGGCTCGAGGGGCAGGCAGGGCGGCTGGCTGCACGGACATGCACACGTACCTACCTGCCTACATGGATCGGATCGATGGCTGGGCTGGGCAGCCTCCTCTCTGTCGTGTGTGTCATCAGATGAGGTAGGGAGGTAGGTGGGTGGGATGGGACAGTCATGTGACGTATTCCAGCTGGGCGGACAAACAAGGTAGGGGCGTAAGGCGTGGATCAACCGATGGATGGATGGATGTACATTATTAGATGGACAAACGTGGGTGCACGTACGTACATGGTCTGTCTGCCGGCTGGTGAGTCATTGATGTCTGTCATGTGCACCTAATGCCATCTTCTCTCTTTTCTCTCCTTCTGTGCCTGTCGGTGTGTGAGGGCACTGATGTGGTGGGTGAGGTGAACAGGGCAGGTGGCTCATGCAGATGCATTGAGCCACTTGCCCCACGTGCGTGTGGACGCCATACGCACATATGCGCAGACGTACATGCATACACACACGATGAGAGAGTCAGTTTTGTTACGTACGTCATCGGCTGACGGACGCATTGACTGACTGACTGACTGGCGAGTGGAGTGGATGAGAACATAAGGGAAGGGGGGCTTCTGTACAGCGACGCGATTTTTCGTCATTCCTGAGGGAGGCTGCATGGCATGGCATGGCATCTATGTGACTGAGATGATTTTGGCAAAACATCTGACGTGTCCGCCAATGCGACGACATCTGGTGAGGATGCGACGCGTGTGATATGGCGTGACGGACCCTTGGTGTGTGTAGCCTCACCTCAACAGTGTGACTGTCTGTTAGCTATTGGTTAAGGCAGAAAGCCCTCCTCACAACACACAACAAATAAAGGGGCGGATACGCAAATGCACACATCAATTCCATTCATCCATTCATCGGTCTCTCTCCCTCTGACTCGCATTGCATTCATTGATGGATGGATGGAGTCATACACGTGACGTCAGCAAAGACTGTACACACCACGCCAGCCACGCATAGAGAGAGAAAGGAGGCAATCCATCCGTCCATCCATCCATCAGATACAGCAGTGCACCAGAGTAGTCAGTCAGCCTCATCCCGGCTGCTGTGGGAGGGACGGTGTCTGCAGGGCCCTAATGGCTGCCTGGGCCTGCCCCTGGTTGGGCGCGGGGAGGCTGGACTTTCTGCCGTACTTGTGGTACCTCGACAGCCGAGCCAGGATGTTGTAGTGCCGTTTGTCCCGCTCGTATGACTGCCGGTAGGTCTCCTTGAGTGGCCCCTTGTAGCGCTTCTCATCCAAATACTCTGGGGTGGGCAACACACACACACACACAGCCGGATGATGACACGTGTGTGACCATCTGACTGGCGTGGGAGTCTGTGTGAGTTACGGACGTTGGTAAAGGTTTCTGTGTTTGTCGTCGAGTTGTGGCTCGGGGACCGGTGGCGGCATGGCGCACCCCGACAGCTTAGAGATCCGCACACACTCGCCAGTCATCGTGTAACGCCGCTTCACGCGGGTCGGCTTCCTAACACACACAGACAGAGAGGAGAGGAGGCTGGACGGCCCACTGGCAGCACGTGTGTGTGTGTGTCCGGCTGACTTGATGACGGGGTCGAGTATGGCGACGTTTGTGATGTGTATGGGCAGCTCCACCGACAGCATCGACGGCTCGCCGGGCAGCGGACGAGGATTAAAGAAATTCCGCTTCTGCAGTGCACACACACAGATGACCAAACGACTGACTGACGCTGTGTGTGTTGGTCTGGCTTAGCTGAGCTGAGCTGCCCCGGGAGCTGACCATGTTGCAGCCGTCGACGATGCAGGTGTTTTTGTCTTTGTCAATGGACAGCACCACGCCCCTCTTGCCCTGGTCCCGACCATGCAACACCTGAACCTGATGAGCCATGGCAGCAAGAAAGAAACCGAGGACAGACACATACAATGGTCGCCATCCCGCCCTCTTGGTGTGTGTGTGTGTGTGTGTGTGTGTGCGGCTGCCAGACTGACCAGGTCGCCCACTTGGATGTTGAGGTAGTAGGAGAGGTCGATTTTCTTGACGGGACAGTACTCTTTGAGCGGTTTGGGAATGGAGCGCTCTCGGCTGGTCTGCAGGAAGGTCGGCACCCACGGCGGCGCCACGCGCCGCTGCAGCGCCTTGGCCGCCATACGAGCCTTGATGTAACGAGTCATCAAACAGATATCAACCAGGAGAAGGGATCAACACTCAGAAGCCAAGATCTGCAAAGGCAGGACGCTGCAGCGGCTCACAGAAAGGCAATGATTGAGTTCGCACATTAGCTAAGCTCGCAGATCCCGGATGATTGAGTTCGCACATTAGCTAAGCTCGCAGATCTCCGGGAAACCGCTCCCCGAATCGCTGCGGGGAGATCTGCGAGCGGTGATGAGTCTCTGGCAGCCCATCCGCAGCCACCACGGCTTCCCTTCCCATGCAAAATGGAAATGTCCAGTTCAAAATGTCGTGCGCTGAGGTGATCAGATTCTGCGTGGGATGCCCTCGCCCTAGTGCCCTCGTCGAAGCTATCCGTCCGTCCCCTGTTATGTACTATTTATGTCGTCGGCACTCAAACACGTACACACACGCATACACAGATACTGTTGGCCGCGCCGCCTGTCGTCACAGGATGAGGCGTTTCGTGTGATGTTTGGGGCCGTGTGGAGAAAGGAGAAAGCCGCCCATAAGAACAAGAAGGGAACGAGACAGACAAGAGTACGTAGTGTTGTAACCTACAATGCGTGTTGGTGATAGTGTTGATTACTGCGTGGAGCTTTGGTGGTTGATGAGGGGCGGGGCCGCCTGCACGTGGTGGGTCGGCTGTGGGAAGTACACAGATATGTCGATGCTTCACCTCTGCCTGTTTTGTTGGCTTGCGCTGTTGAGACGTGGCTGATTGGCTCATCAGTCAGCAATGTCTCAGCAAGCACAAGGGCTATCCTGCACAGCCTCACTCTATGGTCATGATTCATTCGGCCGTGTCCGAACATGCCGCACCAGTCCGGTACACCCGTCCAAATAGGTAATGTCTCGTCCAGATATAAAATGTAGGCAGCGAGGAACCGCCTGCCGCCGTGTACTGAGGCGCCGTCACCGGGCAGAGTGGAGCAAAGGGCTGGCGTAGCAAACCAACCAAGCAACCTGCACACACCACACGACAGACAGACAGAAAGTGCATAGAGTCCTGGGGGCTGTGTGCTGTGTCGAGTTGGTGGGTGACATAACACACGTGCATGCGTACCTCAGAGAGTGTGACAGACAGGGCGGACGCCACACAAGCCGACGACAGACCCACCCACGACAAAACTCCCCGTCTCTCAACACACACGCCCCCACTCACACACGCGATTAATCGATCGATGCAGCAGACCCAGGCAATACGTACAGATATACAGGCAGGCAGTCTGGCAGGAGGCAGGTAGCCAAAATGAAAAAAGCGACAGGCACCATGGATGGATGGATGGATGGTGGCACCCCTCTCTCCCCCGTCCCTCCCTGTTCGTCTCTCGCTCGCTCAACTAGTTGTCTCGTCCAGATATGAGATGTAGGCAGCGAGGTATGGCCTGCATGCCCCACAACACACGAGTACCCCCTACGAGCCACACCAGTCCGGTACACCCGTCCAAATAGGTAATGTCTCGTCCGGATATAAGATGTACGCAGCGAAGTATGGCCTGCATGCCACACAGCACACGATCGTCTGCATCTGCAAAAAGAGAGACGGCAAACACGAGATGTGTTCATGGTTCATGCGTCTGTCCGCGCGTATGTGTTGCACTTGTGGCTGGCGTACGTCGACGGCAGCGATGGGGGTGTGGCGGGGCTGGCGATCGTCTGCGTGGCGGCGAGAAGGTGGGCTTCAATGGCCTTGAGATTGGTGATCATGCCGCTCAACTCCGCCACCACATCCGCCAGGCTGATGCGCTCGGAGGGGAGGACCTTGAGGCAGTTGGCGGATAGCAGCTCGTGTCTCGAGATGGTCTCCCCCAGCCACTCGAGCCCCTCCTCATGAGTGCGGTCGTGGAGGTGCCTGGTGCCCTCGTCCATGACCGGATGGCCTGGTGTTCCGTCCCGCTCCTCGGTGATGGTCGCCAGAGTCTTGCCCCAGCTCAGTGTCGTGAGGATCTCCTGGGACTTGCTTATGTTTTGTTTGCCTACCGGTCAGCTTCATGACTGGCACCGTGCCATCCTCCCGCTGCTCCATAAGAAAGTTCCCCAATTTCAGATCCCTGCTCCGACCAGACACGAAAAAGTGATCCGACCAGACACAGCAGAACAGAGGATGCTGACCCTGTGGAAGAGGTCCCTCAGAGTGACAACGACTGGAAAAGTCATCTCTTTGATTGCCTCCTCCTCCAGCATGACTGTCGGCCCCCCCTTCCCCCAGTGTTGTTCAAGAAACCCCGCAGCGTCTTGATCAAAGTGATCCATCTCGAAAAACATGGACTTCTGGTTTTTATGGCGGGCCTCCACGAGCTGTATGGCCGGAGACACAAGGGTGCACGCATAAGACCGACATAGATAAGGCCATGGATTGTGTGTGTGTGCATCGACGGGGCTCACCAAATTCACGTTGACTATGTGTTCACTCCCAATAGCCATTGCCCTCTGCACCGCGACCTCTTCCCTGAAAAAGCAGCACAGATGCGGACACACACACGCATTTGTGTGGAGCAGGGCATGTCGGTGTGCGGTGCGTGTCGAGTCGATGTCAAAGACAACGACCCGTATGCCTACAGTGCAAGAGCGGAACACATCTTCGCATCTTCGGGAGCTCTTTGAGCACCTTGGTGGCTGCTGAGGGTCCTTGACCGTGTGTGTGCTCGTTGGTAGCGGCCGTGCCCGCAGTGCGCAGCCTGCGATCGGCCTGGTACACCTTGGACCCGCTCCAGGTGCCCATACCGAGCGGCGGTCGGGCGCAAGATAGCCCAAGTGGTTGTCGCCAGGTCCAGGCACCAGCCCACCAGAGGATGCACTGAATGCATCGCTTGGAAGGTTGCAGCCGAAGAACTCTAGTGGGTACGGGCGGCCATTGTAGCTCCCGTTGCCCACCGTTGCATATATACAGCGAGTCTTACATGACCCCAGCCTCCTTCTCCATCAAGTTGCAGAGGTTGTCCTGTGTGAAGCGGTCCTTCTGCGATAGGATGGAGGTCTTGAAGGCCGTCAGGCGCCCGTTGACGATGCCCGGCCTCACTGTGGCTGTCACGCCCACGCCCAGTTGGGGTTCGAGCTGCAGCTGGGTGCCGTCGGGCTGAGTGAGGATGGAAGGGGACGGGAGGGCGGTCCCTCGTGAGGTGCTCGCCATCGGTGTGGCGTCCTGTCGCAAAGGGCAGGGCTGGCCAGGGGACTGCTGCACCTGATCCGTGCCGGCGGGATTCGCTGTGTGTTGTGCTAGATAATCTTTTTGTCCGAAAAGTCTCGACACTTCCCCGGGCCTGGTGAGTTTTTTCTCTGCCCTTCTCTGCCCTAAGCACAGGAGGTCGCTCACATGAAGGCAGCCCTATCCGCAAAGATGGCGTGGCACCCTTTCTGACGACTATCTGTGACGACGACGAGCTTCTCCCGCGTTGATTCCGTGTGAACGGGGGAGGCGGTGATGAGTCAGCAGCAGCTGTCATCTCTCTGGCAGCCCATCCGCAGCCACCGCAGCTTCTACTCCCACGCAAAATGGCACTGGCCAGTGCAAAATGTCGTGCGCTGAGATTATTTGCCGTGGGTATGCCCACGCCTGGTCGAATATATATATATATCTGCATCCGTCCCCTGCTACTATGTCGTGGGCAGACCCACGCGTCACAGCCAACACGCACTCATACACACACACACACACACACATGCGCACACACATAATGCTGGCTGGCCAGTGAGGTACAGGACAATCGACTGCACACACTGCAAGCAGCTAGCCGCACACGCACACGTACAGCATGCACAGCAGCAAGTTGGGCGGGTGGGCGATGGGTGGGTGGGTGCGAGGGATGGTGCAGAAGATGTATAATACCCACCACCGCCCGCTGGGTGCGTCCATCCATCCATCACGCTGAGGCTCATGCGGAGCAGAGCAGATGTTGCGTACGAGGTGGGTGTGGACTCCTTCCTCTCCGCATGCCGGCCTGCCTGCCTGCCTGCCTGCCTGCGAGCCAAGTAGTTGTCCTGTCTGTCTGTCGGCGTCGTCACGGAGAGATAGTCGCTGGTAAACTAGCGAGTCAGTCAATCTCTCGCTGATCAATCAGCTGAGCTGCCAGCGAGCCGAATCGTCGGCCGCCGCCTGCTTAGCCACACGCATACGTACAAACAAACATACATATATATATATATATACATTTATATATATATACACACACATATATACACGAATCTGTGTGTGTGCGGATGGCAGGAAGTCGTCAGCGATGTCCCTCCCTGTGTGCGTGCGGCGCCAAAACCAATCGGCACGACACACACCTGCACGCGTATGTGCGGTGCGGGCAGTGGGGCGGCAAGCCCAAAATCAGAAACGCGGTGATTGTACTTACACTGGGCACAGCAGCCAGCGGATGGCAGCTCATATGCCTGGACCTAGCAGCCAGTGCTCTCTAGTAAAAGCCCAGCCACCAAATAACACGAACATAAAGCCAGCAGACGGCTACAGGTAAGTGTCGTGTGGTGCGGTGTGCGGTGTGGTGAGAGGTAGTGGTGTTAGTCAATTGGTGCGCCGATCAATCGGACAGACACCCATGCGCCACGGCAAGAGCCACAAGCCATGCACCAGCTGCACTGCACCTATAGTGAAATCCATTCATTCCATGGAAAAATATCCAACACGCAGGCACGAAGAGCAAATCCGCAGTAATCCACGCCAAGCCATGTCACCCACCATCGCACGCCGTTAGTCACCACAGGCAAGATGGTCTGTCTCATTTATCAATTGTGACATCGCGCCAACCGTCAACCAGTCGGCCAAGGGCCGAAGGGACGCCGAGATGCAACTTGAACGGACTGAAAACCAGCCGTGTTGACATCACCGGAGAAGCAATGCTCGTCCCTGGCGGCCAAGGGCCGAAGGGACGCCCTCACGTCACGTCACCCCCACATACATATATACGAGAGAGATAGCTACAGTACCGATCTGTCCCTGCCTGCCTGCCTGCCTGCCTCCTTCCCCATGTTGGTGGTTGCCCTTCATAAAGCAAAGACACAGACACACACACACACACACAGAGAGAGAGAGAGAGGGAGAGAGAGAGAGAGGGAGAGGGAGAGAGAGAGGGGGACAACAAATGCAGCTCTGGATGGATAAATGGATGGATGAATGGCTGCTGACCTCTTACTTGAGGATCCATTCCTTGCGCTCGTCGGCCTTCTTCTTGCTGAAGGCCATGTCGATCGACTCCGAGTCCTGGCCTCCTGGCCATCACACACACACGGATGGATTTGATGTATTGTGCTTGGTGCGCTTGGTGTGTATAGGTGTGTGTACCGGCCCACGTGAAGGTGAGCTGGTGCTCGTCGATCTGTTTGAAGTACTCCTCGAAGCCGCGGTCGGTCGAGGTGGCCAAACCCTACACACACACACACACACACACATTTTCATCAATCATATCATCTGCCTGTTTGTTGGTTACTTTGACAATGGGTGTGACGAACTCCTAGAGGAATCCCTTGTATTGGAGCAGCTCCAGCCAGTAGTGACACACACACACTCACACACACACACAGAGAGAGAGAGAGAGGGGGACAACAAATCCAGCTCTGGATGGATGGATGGATGCTGACCGGGCTTCGCTTCCAGCCGTCGACCAAACTGGCGATGGAACGAACGGGCCGTGTCGTACCTGCACACACACGCAGCCAGGGTGGGGTGGGGGAGAGTGGGTGTGCCGGGTGTGTGGGGGGGGAGAGGGAGGGGGTTTACTTGGAGTGGATGACGAGCTCTTTGTTGATGAAGTCGGTGCACGTCAGCACAGACTTGGAGTGGTCCACAAAGGTGCCGTCCTGAGACCAACCACACACACACACACACACACAAAGAGAGAGAGAGAGAGAGGGAGAGGGAGAGAGAGAGGGGGACAACAAATGCAGCTCTGGATGGATAAATGGATGGATGAATGGCTGCTGACCTCTTACTTGAGGATCCATTCCTTGCGCTCGTCGGCCTTCTTCTTGCTGAAGGCCATGTCGATCGACTCCGAGTCCTGGCCTCCTGGCCATCACACACACACGGATGGATTTGATGTATTGTGCTTGGTGCGCTTGGTGTGTGTAGGTGTGTGTACCGGCCCACGTGAAGGTGAGCTGGTGCTCGTCGATCTGTTTGAAGTACTCCTCGAAGCCGCGGTCGGTCGAGGTGGCCAAACCCTACACACACACACACACACAGAGAGAGAGAGAGAGAGTGTGCGTGTGTGGCTGGGTGGCTGTCGGTGGTCACTTACAGTGGCACGCACGTGCCTGTGCCTCTCTCCCCTATATGTCTTGCTGCTCCTCCCCTATCCGTCTCGGTGCCCGCTCCCCTATCTGTCGCGGTGCCCGCTCCCCTATCCGTCTCGGTGCCCCCTCCCCTATCTGTCGCGGTGCCCCCTCCCCTATCTGTCGCGGTGCCCCCTCCCCTGTCTGTCGCGGTGCCCCCTCCCCTATCTGTCGCGGTGCCCCTTCCGCTATCTGTCGCGGTGCCCCCTCCGCTATCTGTCGCGGTGCCCCCTCCCCTATCTCTCTCCCCTGTCTCTCTCCCTCCGTCCCTCCTTGTCCGTCGCTCGCTCGCTCGCTCATCTAGTTGATCCGGCAGTGGCGAAATGGGCGTGACCTGCGGGCCTTGACCTCCTCTTGGTGGGCTGCAATCTCCGCCTCCCGCGCCCTCTGGCTGGCCGTCTTATCCAGGAGGCGACTGCGGCCTCTTCCAAGGACCCCCACACGGGCAGGCCGCCTGCGGTCCTCGGTGGCCGCACCGTCACTCGCCCCCGCACCACCAGCAGCGGCACCTGTGGCGGCCCGTCTTCGGTCCTCAGTCTCGTGTGTTGGGTGCTGCTCGCCGGCCGCCGGGCAGCCACCATCGCCCTCTTCTTCAACACCATTAGCTACAACAATCGGCACTGCCCCCTCCACATGTACGTCGCCCTCCCCGACAGCGCCACCATCAAGTCTCACCCCCGCACCACCAGCAGTGGCACCTGTGGTGGCCCGTGCTGCCCCCCCGCCGTTGTCGTCGTCTGTGTGGTGTTGGGTGCCCTGATGGGCGGTGCCTGGCACGGCAGAAGGGCCATCCTCGTGTGGGATGAGGGCAGGCAGGGGCGGTGCCGGCTGGGGCGGCTGCGTCGCCTGCTGCTGCTGCATGATCTGCTGCTGCATCTGATCGATCTGCTGCTGGAGCGCCTTCAGAGTTGCCTCCATCGTCTGCGTCTGCTGCATCGTCTGCTGCTGCCGCTGCATCTGCTGCATCTGCTGCATCTGATCGATCTGCTGCTGGAGCGCCTGGAGAGTTGCCAGCATCATCTCCATCTGCGGTGCTGGTGTGGGCTGCCATGCGGTCTTGGATGGCTGCAGTTGGGGGGCTGCTGGCTCCTTCGGTGGTGGTGGTGGTGGCTGCAGGTCGGCCTGGGCCCGGCCTTGGCGATGCAGACGCCCTGGTTGGGCACTGGCGACTCGGCAGAAGGCGGGGGCACGGTAAATGGCGCGTCTGGCGACGCGGCCGTCGAGGGTAGCGATGGGGGTGTGGCGGGGCTGGCGATCGTCTGCGTGGCGGCGAGAAGGTGGGCCTCAATGGCCTTGAGGTTGGTGATGATGCCGGTCAACTCCGACACCACACCCGCCAGGCTGATGCGCTCGGAGGGGAGGACCTTGAGGCAGTTGGCGGATAGCAGCTCGTATCTCGAGATGGTCCCCCCCAGCCACTCGAGCCCCTTCTCATGAGTGCGGTCGTGGAGGTGCCTGCTGCCCTCGTCCATGACCGGATGGCCTGGTGTTCCGTCCCGCTCCTCGGTGATGGTCGCCAGAGTCTTGCCCCAGCTCAGTGCCGTGAGGATCTCCTGGGAATTGAGGAAGCTGTCCACCTGGGCGCGAAACGCCCGCCTGACGTCGTCGCTGGCCCCCTTTGCAGGCGGTTGCGGAATTCCCTCAGCTCAGCCCTGCTGCACCACCAGCCAGTTCTCCCACTTCTCGCCCCTTAGGATGTTGTGCATCAGCACGCCAAGCTGGAAGACGGTTGTCCTGCTACCCAGACAAATGCGCTCCGTCTGGCCGCTGCCCCCCACCATGACACGGTCGCGCCTCATGTCGTCCTCCAGGTCCCTCATCATCTCCTTGGCCGTCTTGCCGTGCAGCCTCCTGTCGCGGTAGCTGCCCAGCTGCGTGTCCAACCGGTTGGCGCACTCCTTACGCCGCGCTTCGTGCAACAGCTGCTCTGGCGCGCCCTGGAAGCCGGTGTAGTTGGGGTACTGCTTCTCCCGCACGAACGCCTCTCCGTGGGTGGCAACCATGGCGGCTGGGCGGAATCCGGCTGGTGGCCTGGGGACGCCTTGGCGATGGCGTGTGTCGAGGCCGTTGGCGTGATCGATGAGGATCACAAGGGGGCTGGAATCGGTGGTGGGGTCGTCCTCATCTCCATCGCGAACGTAGGTGTTGTTGCCGCAGTGGTCGCCATACACCAAGCCGAAGTCGAGCATCGCCTGCTCGTAGGCCCTGGCGAGCTTGTAGAGCAGCTCGGTCACCTTAAGCATCTTGCCGTTGATCCCCTTGGCCTTCTCCAGGGTGGGCTGCGATTCAGGATGGGCGGCCGAAATGGACGACAAGTTGAGCCCCTCTTGCCATCTCGCCCGCCGTGGCCATATCAGGCCCGCCACGCTGACGTACGTGTTGTCGGTGAGAGGGTTGTTGATGGGGGGCATCGACACGTACACGCATGGCTGCGGTTCTGCAGACGGGTTGGCGCGGCATGATGCCGTGGGTGTGCCGTCGATGCGGCCGGCGTACTCGAATTGGTCCATGTCGACGAATGGACCTCTCCTGCGGATCTCCCGCTGCCGCCTTTGGATCTTGGCCATGACCTCAGCCTCCCTCTCCATCAAGTTGCAGAGGTTCTCCTGCGTGAAGCGGTCCTTCTGCGATAGGACGGAAGTCTTGAAGGCCGTCAGGCGCCCGTTGACGATACCCGGCCTCACTGTGGCTGTCGAACCCACGCCAAGTCGGGGTCCGAGCTGCAGCTGGGTGCCGTCGGGCTGAGTGAGGATGGGAGGGGACGGGAGGGCGGTCCCTCGTGAGGTGCTCGCCATCGGTGTGGCGTCCTGTCGCAAAGGCCAGGGGACTGCTGTACCTGATCCGTGCCGACGGGTATTGCTGTTGCTTGTGCTGCTGCTGTGGGGCTCATTCTGCTCAAATCGCTCTTTTCAAATCACTGCGAGCTCGTAACCTTACGATCGACTGAAAAAAGGAAAGGCCATTGCAACGCGCTTAAGGTTCACACCCCTAAGAGCCATGGGGGTCGTATTCATGTAATTGAGGCGTTTTTGGACATGTAAGAGCGCCTACGGGGGAGGTGAGAAGGCAACCCTGCGGACTCCGAGGAGCCTGCGGAGGCCATGGCATCCCCGCCTGGCCCAGATGGCGCTCCCACTCGAACAAATACTCCAGCCACCCCTGTCCTAGATGAATCGGTGAGTATCCGAGCAACAGACGCTGCAATGCTGCACCAATGTATGGCTGCAGCCATGCATCAAGACTATTGCATCAAGATAATGGATGCGCATGTGTTTCTGTGCTGCAGCATCAGATCGCCCCCTCGTCCGGTAGCCGTCCCCCGCCACCGCCCCCGCCCGATGCACCGCATGGGCAGGCGTCCACCAGACAGATCCGGCCCGGTCAGGAGGGACGTGGTGCCGTCGGCCCCCCAAGGCCAACTCTGGCACTTACCCGCAATTCCTTCGAGGCCGTGGCCCGCGGCTTCCCGTCCCTCCTGGTGGTGGTGGTGGTGGTGTGCAGCGCCGCGGGATGGAGGTGGGTGTGTTGAAGGGGGAGGGAGAGGGAGAGGGAGAGGGTAACGTGGTTGACGGGAGAGAGGAGGGCAACTCCAGCGGTGTGGGGTTGCCAGGGGAGGTGGGTACGTCGCTGCAACATCTGCAGCCGCAGCCCCCACAACAGGCACAAAACTCTGCCGCGGAGGAGCACCATCTCAATACACCAGCAGCCATGCTGGGGTCTCTGGTGAGAACCAACGATATTGCACGCAGTGCGCTGGGTATGTCTGTTTGTCTTCCTGTCTGTGTGTGTGTGTGTGCGTTTGCGGCTCAGGGTGGCGGAACGTCGGTGGGCCAGCCGCACCCGTACCCACAGGCCGCACACGGTGGACAGGTGCGAGACACACAACACGCACTAAGTTTGACACACACACACACACATCTATGTTTGTGATGTGCGTGTGTGTGGTGTAGTTGGCTGGTGAGGGGATGCTGCCCACCGGACAAACCCCCGTCGTACGCCACCCGAACACCCAATACGCACAGACAGACACATCAACCGTGAATGCATCTCGTGTGTGCCGTCTCTCTTTTTGCATATGCAGACGATGCTGGCAACTCTGCAGGCGCTGCAGCAGCAGATCAATCACATCCAGCAGATGCAGCAGATGCAGCAGCAGATCATGCAGCAGCAGATCATGCAGCAGGCGACGCAGCTCCCCCAGCCGACACCGCCCCTCCCTGCCCTCAGCCAACACCAGGATGGTCCTGCTGTGCCAGGCTCCGCCCATCAGGGCACCCAGCAACACACACACGACAGCGGCGGCAGCAGTGGAGACTACAACCTACAGGCAGCGCCGGGGGGTCCGCCACACAGCAGCGGAAATTCCATGCCCCCTGTCGGCGGTGCATTTGGGGGTGGGCTGCAGCTCCAGTCGATCACCCAGCCAGCAGGTAAGGAGAGAGAGAGAGAGAGAGAGAGAGAGGGGAGGGAGGGAGGGAGGGAGGGAGGGAGGAACAATGCTCGCGTCAGTCTGTCGATGTAATGTATGTGTGTATTCTGTGTATGTGTGTGTGTGTGTGTCAGATGAGTTTGATTCGTTGCCGCCTCAGGCTCCTCCCCATCCATTCGTCGTGCCCCCGCCTTCTGCCGAGTCGCCAGTGCCCAACCAGGGTGTCTGCGTCGCCAAGGCCGCCCAGCAGGCCCAGGCCGACCTGCAGCCACCACCACCACCCATAGAGACCGACGGAGAGCCGCAGATCTCACAACCCATGCTGGCCACCACAAAGGACCAGCCAGACGAAAGCCACCCCCGAGAGACGGCACAACACGACGACAACGGCGGGGGGGCAGCACGGGCCACCACAGGTGCCACTGCTGGTGGTGCGGGGGTGAGACTTGATGATGGCGCTGTCGGGGATGGCGACGTAGACGTGGGGGGGGCAGTGCCGATAGTTGTAGCTAATGGTGTTGAAGAAGAGGGCGATGGTGGCTGCCTGGCGGCCGGCGAGCACCACCCAAAACACGAGACTGAGGACCGCAGTTCACACGTACAGACACGAAAAAAAGCAACAAACACCTCTCCTGCCATGTATGTGTGACCATTTTGTGTGTGTTGTCTTGTTTAGCTGTCCGAAGACGCGTCGGCGCAGCAGCTGCCTCTCAACGTCGACTCCCTGCAAAGGCTGGCGGCCCAAGACGAGCAGCCCGTTGAAGACATAGGGCAGTCAATCCACGAGCTTCCTGAGAACGACCACATCGTCAATCTGCTCTCGAGGGCGGCTGACTCCATGTTGGGCGACCAGGGGCAACTTCGCGACCTGGAGGGGTTCCCTGTAGCCAACAAAGAGGAGGGCGGGCAGAATGGGCACAAGGGCAAGGAGGGAGAGATAGCCGGGCAGAAGGGGGCGGCAGGGGGACGCGGTGGGAAGAAGCTGCCACCGAGGGAGACGCGGGGGGGATCGTGGGAGGACACGTACCAGCGGGGGCCGAGAGGGCGGGGTCTACCTCGACAGTTGGTGTTCCCGTTGAAGGAGGGGGCGGATGACCACCGTCAAGACGACGGCAGGCCCAGGGGTACCTACACACATACACACACCAGACAGAAAGGACAGGCAGGCTACGCTAGGCACAGTCTGTTTCTCTGTGTGGTCATTCATCTGTGTGTTTGTATGTGACGGATTGCAGACTTGGAGGCGATTGTAGGCAGGCATGGTTTCGCCATCGTGCGCTCCAGCAACCCCAAGTCACGGAGCGGTGATCCAGTGGAGGTCGTACAGCTGCTACGCGAAGGTCACAGGATGGTGAGCCATACAAACACATACATACATACATACATGGTGTTGCAATGCAGCCATCCATTTAACGTCTCCTCTCCTCGTTTATGGTCTGTCTGTCCTGCCACGCAGACCGAACAGGAGATCGCCAGTCTGCTGCTGCGCATGACGGCCAGAGCCGCACAGACGGAGCGCGGCGTCAAACCTCGAGAGAGGCAGGCCCTGGAGGCTGCCAGACGGGAGAAGGCGCTCGAGGCAGCAAAGGAAGTGCGCGCCGAACTGCAGAGGAGAGGTAGGTATCACGAAGACGAAACCTATGTACCTTCTTTCCTTTGAGCGGGTGCGATGTGTCTGTTTCAGAAGCCAAGAGGGTCAGTCTCATGCAGAGCGGAAAGGGCCGCGTCAACACCACAGACCGCTCGCAGGTGCGTGCTCATCACACGCGCAGACTCACAGACAGACAACCATCGACACGCACGCATCAACAAGTCGGTGAGTCATGTGTTGCCCTTTCTGTGTGTCTCTTTCTGTGTGTGTGCTTCAGGCTGGTCGCCCTCCCGCCAGCCCTCCCGCCAACCCTCCCCGGCCGTTCTCTCAGAGGCCCCCCACGCACCCCGTCACCCAATCGCCCACCATTCGCATCCTGCCACGCCCCTCTCCCCCCAGCCCGGCAGCGCCACCCCACAAAAGTCTGCAGCTGACCGACCGCAACCGCAACCGCAACGCATCGTGCCAGCGGGAGAAGGAGAAGAAGATCCGCAACCTACAAGAAGAGCAGAACGACAAGAAAGAGTGCCTGAGGAGGGCCATGATTGTGCTGAGGCGCCTGATCACGGTCCACAGCAGCGAGGGCCAGCGTGAGGCCCTGCTGGAGGGGTGCGGGCAAATCATAGTGCCGAAGAAGCAGCGGCAAGTAAGGAGGCAGGCAGGCAGAGAAAACAACGAGATGCACAGATGGATGGATGGATGGATGTGCGCGTGGTGGTTGTATTCTCAGTGGGGATTGGTACTTCCCGCCCACCAACACCAGACAGAAGGGCACGGCCGCCAACAGCACCAGCAGCAGCAATGTGAACTATCACGCCCTCGATGGAGGACCATCCAATGGATCTCTCTGTTTTGTGTGTCTCTGTGCAGTCTGGTATGAGCCCGGCACTGCGAAGTGTCCTCAACGACCCGGACACATTGCCCATCCTCCGATCTGTGGGGGTAAGTAAGAAAGAATAGTCGACGCCGTGAGGGGTCAGTCAGTCAGTCGACACGCCTTCCACCCACCTCCCCACCCACACATGCATGGCCTTTCCTTTCCTTGCTCTTCAGATCACCAGCGTGCCCGGCTCTGCTGAGGAGGCCACAGCTTGTTTGGACCAAGTGCAACAGGCCCTGGCGCAGCTCGATCAGCATCAAGTGAGTGACTGACCGACCAAAGACCAAACAGATAGGGGATGGATGGATGGATGTGTGTGTGTCATCCTTCTTTGCCAGGAGCATCGCAGCACAGAGGAGCGCGACATGGTAGCAGATAGCGATGGTACGCACATACATGGCAGATCGACAGATATACCGACACCTGCATGCCTCTTCTTTCCATATCGTTGCTGGTTGGGGCATGTGCAGGATTGGACCAGGTTGTGGAGCTGGAGGATGAGGACCTAGCAGAGGAGGCTCGCATCCAGCGAGGGGAGGCTGTCAAGGGCGGCCGTGGGGGCGGAGGGTCGGGGCCTTCTGGCTGACAACCACACACCATCAATCATCACAGACACACACAGGTACGTATGAACGCATGCAGGTACACGGAATCTGCATCTTGACGTGTGCAGGTCTTTAGTAGTTTCTGCTGGGCGACCGCGCCCGTCTTATCGAGCCACACGACCACACCACACCACAGCACCCACCACACACACATTACATACCATCCATACACACACACACACCATGACAGACGACAGACAGACAGACACACAGGGTGTAGGGGGCAGCGAGAGATACGAATTAAGGGGCTGTAGGGGCTTGGGTGCATACCTGCCTGTGCGTTTGTGAAGGTGTTTGTTTTGTCGTGCGGTGAAGTGCTCGTGCCTCGGCTCTCCTGTCTGTCTGTCCAGCCCAAGTCTGCCGCAGCCTTAAACTTGCCCGACACAACCAATGAGAGAGCAAACTAATCTCTGACCACGATGATGTGATGGAATGCAGTCTTCGGACTCGTTGGGTCGGGCATGTTTTCGGTTGCGCCGAGTGTGAGGTATGTGTGTCGGTGTGATGCTATGCGCGTTGATTGCATACACGTGGTTGATTGATGCCTTTGTCGCCGGCCGGCCGGACAGACCCCAGCCAGCCAGCCAGCAGTGAGACGTTAGTCAGTCAGTCATGAGAAGGGCCTCGACAGAGCCAACACGGACAGACCATCATCAAGCCAGCCAGCCCTGGACCAAATATACCCCCACACGCACACAGAGATATCAATGCATCGGTGCTGTGTAAGTTCGTCCCACCCACACCACCCACACAGCAAGGCCCACTACCTACTCTCAGCTGACTGGCCGGCGATGTGTTCATGACCCGTACTTCTGTGGACGAATGGACACTTCTCGATGATGTGTGTATGAATGTACGATTTCAAAGATATCTGTAGACACACCCGTCCGTCCGTCTGTCTGTCTGTTGGGCCAGCGAGCGCAGAACATACGGCATGCAGGTCACTCAATCAGTCAGTGCATGTAGGTAGATGTCCAGACACACATACAGACATCCATCCATCCATCCAGACAGACAGACAGACAGATGTCTTGACGTCCTTGTGTTATATGTGTGTGTGTGATCGAAAGAATCAATGCAGTCGTATATATCAAAGTGCCCGGCTCACACAAGTTTACTCATCAAGGCGTGTGTCATGAGTGTCCAAACGATGTGAATGCATACACCACATTGACAAAGTCATCGGCCTCCCTCCCCCCCGGCCTCCATCTCTTACGAACACATGCCAACGAACCAACGAACTAAGACATACACACAAGTCATGTCGTCAGATGAACCGCATGGCCGCGACGGTGCGGGCGCTCTCCCCGACCTCTCCTCTCCTTTCTGCGCCTCGTGCGCCGCTCAATGGAGGACCATCGCTGCCCGTCTGCAGACACAGGCACGCAAAGAGGGACGGACGCACACACACATGTTCACAGAAAGAGTTGCGTGTTGTCTCGATGTGTTGTGAGTGGTGTTTCTTTCTTTCTCACGATGAGGTCGAGAAGGAATGTCTTTTGTATGAGTGCCTCCATCCGCTGCTTGTGGCGCGACACGTAAGACAGGTACGTCGACGCAAACTGGGGGAACCCGGGCACCTTGATCAGGAAATCAGGACTGACACACACAAATACAACACACACGAAGCTCGACTCGACTCGACTTCACAGACACCGACACTTGTCTCTCTGTCGCTCACGTGAATGCGAGGAGTATTTGGTTGGTGATGGCGGACGCTAGCCCAGCGGCCTTGGCATTGGTGCTCCACTCGCCCAGCATCTCCAGGAAGGTCGCTATGTCGTGCGACGGCCACTCACGGATCATCTCCTGAAGCATGCTCCGCAAACCAGCCGATTCAGTACCGCCATCTGCCTCTGGGCCGGCGGGCTGATCAGCCATCGGCTCGTCCTCATCACCACCTGTCCCATCAGCCATGTCTTGGTCTGCCGGCCGCCGTGGTGGTGCCTCGCTCTCGTCTTGTGTGGCGCGGTGGCGATTGATGGCTGTGTGTTGTGCCCGCTGGATGTTGGCGGTGAGTCGTCTGGTGGCCTCCTTCTCGAGCAGCCGTCGTGCTTGTGCGGTGCGGTTGAGCTGGACGGCGATGAGGAGGGCCTCGAGTGTGCGGCCCTGCTGCTCCAGAGTCTGCAGACGGGTCTCCTGCAAAGCCGCCTCACTCGCCTCCTCCTGACATACACACACACACACACGCATGCATGCAGAAAGCGAGTGAGATGCACGGAGGGCGTCTGTTGCTGGTTCCCCATTTCTGTCTGTCTGTCTGACTGACCCGTTTCTGCTCTGCCTCCTCTTCGGTGTCGTCCCTCCATATGACGATCTTCGAGTCCGCCCCGCCAGTCACCATCACATCCTCACGCAAATCCATGCACCATACCTGCCACACACACATACAGACATACACGTGTGTGTGTGGTGATGCAGTCAATGGGGCGGTGCGTGCGTGTGGCCCGGCCGACCTTGTCTTCGTGTTGGTCGAAAGTGGCGTTGCACTCGGTGGTGCGGACGTTCCACAGCTTGACGAGGCCGTCGGTGCCGCACGTCATGATCTGCAGGCCCCCAGACAGGAACGACACACGCAACACGCCATGCGGAGACTCGTGGCCCTGAGTCATATGAAACACACGACACACAGAGAGAATGTCAAAACATAGCGAGACGGAGGAAGATACTCTGTGCGTGTGTGTGTGTGTCTGTGTCATCCACCTGGAATGTTTTGACACAAGTGTAGTCCTTGAGGTTCCATATGCGGGCTGTCCCATCGCCAGATGCTGACGCAAGCACCTGCAACATCCAGTGAACATCACACGGGTTGTTGCTGTGTGTGTTGTGTGTGTGTGTGTGTGTGGCGGTGACCCTGTCGACAGGTGAGAAGCAGATGTTCCAGACGGTCTTGCGGTGGCCCCTCGACACACCCAGCAAACGACACTCCGGGAAGCTGTAGTACTGACAGACAGACACGTGTATGAGTACAAAAATACAGAGGGTCTCAATGATGGCGTACAGTGCAGGAATGTACATACATGTGTGTCAAGGCACCCACCTTGATTTCCTTATCCCGCCCTGCTGTTGCGGCGACCTGGGGGCACCGCAGCCATACAGCGAGTTCCCTTCTGAATGCATTCTTCTTTCCCTCTTACGGTACCTGATTGTTGGGGGCAATAGCGACATCGTTGACGGCCTTCTGATGCGCCACCACCGACAGGGCTGCACGAGACACCTTCAGCGGACCGGCCCCCGACCCGCCTGCCCGTGCTTGAACGTCCTTGAGGGGCAGCGCCCACACTTTGAGGGTCTGGTCGTCGCTGACCGACACCAGCCGCAGCGTGTCACCGATGTTCTTGCCATCCGAACCCAACCTTCATACAACACACACAGACCGAGACGATTGCACCCATCTGGCGGTGGGCTGTTATCTCGTGACGTGTGTGTATCTGAGTACTCACTTGGGTGGGAATGCGAGTGCGTTGACGGGCCCGCCGTGTCCGGTGAGTACGGCCACACAGGCAGCCTTCACCCCGCCCCCCTCCACATCCACACTCCACAACCGCACCTCGCCGTCCTTCCCACCTGTCGCCAACCAACGCACTGGAACGGACAGCATCGAATTAACAGAAAGACAGACATGTATGCGCATGGGTGGGGGCTGGGTCACTTGTGTACCGTCTGGCGCAACGGCGACAGTCCACACGATGGTGGTATGTCCGACAAGAGGCGTGACATCGAAGCTGCCGAGGTTCATGATCTTGGCCTGCTCGTCGTTGGTCACGCACACGCAGTGAATGTGGTCCAGCTGTTGCGAGAGGGGCGAGGGTGACGTGTGTGGCTTGAGGGGCACCATCAGCCGACAGGCGAGTATCTCTCCGCAGTGTGCCATGAGCTGCTTGACGGGGGCCAGGTGCGGCCAGGACCAGACGATGACATTGAGGTCCTGGCCGACGGTGAGCAGGTGGCGGGCATCGAGACGCAACAGATGGGTCATCGCACCACCTGATGCATGACCACCGGGCACCTCCTGAGCGAGCCGCCCCCATTTCACACGCACACACACACGTGTGAGGGCATGTATGCATGTCTGTTTGTCGGCCTCCGTCTCACCTTGACGCATGTGGCTTTGGTGGGGTTCCACAGCTTGAGTGTGCCGCCGTCCCCCACACTGACCACGACCCACTCAGTCTCCTCCACACCCTCCATGACCCACCCGTGCTCCTCGCCCCCACCTTCATTTTCACCTCCATCAACATGCTCGCGCTTGCCCCTCCTCCGTGACTTGGGCGGCTTCTGCGGCGGGGCGCGTGTGGGCATGGCGACGGCGGCCTCGTTGAGCTCATAAGTGGGGATGTCTTTGGCGCGGCGGTAGGTGAGTGGCTGTGTGTGCTCCTGCCACACGAGGATGGTGCGGTCGCGTGCAGCCGTCACCAGATAGAGGGCGGAGCCGGACGTCTGGGGTGAGGGGTGGTGGAAGTCCAGCGATGCGATGGAGCTCAGGTGACCCTCCAGCACACCATACTGCCTGACAGACGGAGAAACAGAGACAGAAAGGACGGCAGGCAGGCATGAAGACCGGCAGAAGAAGCACGCATTCACGTGTTCTGTGTTCCTTCATGCCCCCGTCCTCACTGTTCCCTTCCTCCTTGGCTCACTCACCTGTTTTGGTGGAGGTCCCATATGCGAATGTGTCCGCCGCTGTCGGCAGAGAAGACCACCTGACGGGAGGGATGGAACCTGCAGGCAGGCAGGCAGTAAGTCAGCGCAGCACACTACGAAGACTCAGCAGCACAGCCCTTTCACTGACTCACCTGACAAGATCGACCCCGTTGTCATGCCCCGTGAAGTTGTGCGTGCAGAAACCACCGCTGATGTCCCACACCTGACCACACAGACAGACAGACAGACAGGCGGAGGGAGGGAGGCGTTCATGCCCTCTCGATCTTTCCCATGGGCATGCTCACTCACCCTGACTGTTGCGTCTGTTGCTCCTGTGGCCACATGAGTGCCCTTGGGACTCACACACATCGCACTGATGTACGAGTCATGGCCCTGACACACACACACACACACACACACAGAGAGAGAGAGAGAGAATCCTTCCAGTCAGATCCACCCACCGCCCTCTCTCGCCTGCCTACCCTCCATGAGCGTATGAGTGTGCTTGTCCATCCTCCTCCGGTCTTGTCCTTCGCCGCGCTCCAGTGCCGAATCAACAGACTCCTGCACGCACCAATGACGCCCACCTCACCGGCCCTCTTGCCGTCGCCCCACACGTCAAATGTTAGGACGTCATCGCCCTCAGCCTGCAGGGTGAAGAGCGGCCTGGCAGTGGACAGATCCACACCTACTACGCTGCCCGAATGCTGACACACAAGCACGCCAGCATGCTCGCAGTAGCGAACGGCGCCGCCGGAGTAGAAGCTGTGGTGGCTGCGGACGGGCTGCCAGAGAGACGAGAGCTGCTGCTGACTCATCACCGCCTCCTCATACCCCTTCACACGGGATGAACGCGGGAGAACCTCGTCGTCGTCACGGATCGTCGTTGAAAATGGTGCGACACGCCATCTTTGTTGGTTGGTTATTGTGTTTAACGAGACTCGTGTCTGTAGCCCCAGAGAGAAAACGACCGGGGGAAGTGTCGAGACTTTTTGGAGACAAAAAAAAAAACTTTGGCGATGATACAGCAGCTACAGCAGCGGCATCCTTTCGCGCCACCCCGTCAGCAGAGCCGCAGCCATGCGTCTACGTCTCGATGCCGCCTATCAACAACCACTCCCTCAACGTATACGTTAGCGTGTTGCACCCTGAAGAAAAGGCCGGCCGGCGAGGACTGGCTATGGTGCTGGGTGTCAGGTGGCGCACCCGCACGTACCTTGTCATCACGCCTGACAAGAAGACCATCGTTTTCTCTGCCGACATGGAGCAGACATCTAAGGTAAGTGGAAGGAAGACGCCACACACATATATACGGAGGAAGATGGTGGTGTGTGCCTTCGCGTTTGAGCAGGTGGCGAGCGCGCCGAGGACTGGCCAACTATGGTCAAGATAGACGGCAGGGTGGGCAACGGGAGCTACAATGGCCGCCCGGACCCACTAGAATTCTTCGGCTGCAACATTCTAAGCGATGCATTCAGTGCATTCTCTGGTGTGCCCCCTCGACCTGGCGACAACCACTTGGGCTATCTCAAGCCCGACCGCCGCTTGGACCGCCACAACATGCATGCTTGGACCGCCACAACATGCTGCCATTCGGTATGGGCACCTGGAGCGGGTCCAAGGTGTACCAGGCCGATCGCATGCTGCGCACTGCTGGCACGTCCGCTACCAACGAGCACACACACGGTCAAGGACCCTCAGCAGCCACCAAGGTGCTCAAGGAGCTCCCAAAGAGGTCGTCTGATATGGCAATGGCTATTGGGAGTGAAAACATAGTCAACGTGAATTTGGTGAGCCTCGTCGTATGTATGTCCGTCTATGTGTGCACCCTTGTGTCTCCGGCCATGCAGCTCGTGGAGGCCCGCCATAAAAACCAGAAGTCCATGTTTTTCGAGATGGACTACTTTGATCAAGACGCTGCGGGGTTTCTTGAACAACACTGGGGGAAGGGGGGGTCGACAGTCATGCTGGAGGAGGAGGCAATCAAAGAGATGACTTTTCCAGTCGTTGTCACTCTGAGGGACCTCTTCCACTCTGGGTTTGTATCGCACGGGTCAGCACCCGAGACAACAAGACAAGCCTCTGCTCTGCTGTGTCTGGTCGGATCACTTTTATCTCCCCCACTGAGCAGGGATCTGAAATTGACAAACTTCCTGATTGAGCAGCGAGAGGATGGCACGGTGCCAGTGATGAAGCTGATCGGTAGGCTGTGTAGCCTTTCTCCAGGCTTGTGTCTGCTCTTCTGTCCGCAAATTGTCTGTCTGTCTGTCTGTCTGTCTATTTTTATTGTTTCAGGGGCGAGGACAGCAGCAGCAGCAGCAGCAGGAGAGATAGCGGCCGCCTGGCTCGACGCGGACCCACCGAAGAAGGACCCCGACTAGGAGCCCCCGTCTCCCTCTCGCCGCCCCCGCCCGCCCGCCAGGCGCGACCGCTCCCGCCCCAAGACGTGGCGGGGCGGCACGCCCGCAACCATCAAAGCCCTGCAGGATCTCAATATTGAGGGTACGAACCAACGAGGGACACAGAGACATGCAAACATAAACATACAGCACACTACGTAAGACTTCTTGCCGTGACTTTTTGTTATGCACAGCTTACGAGGTAGCCATGTGGGACGTGCCCAAAGGAGTGTTGGTACGCTGATGAGACACAAAAGGAGAGGGGACATTCTTGTGAGAAACTGGCACGTCTCCTGTGTGTGTGTGTGTGTGTGCCTAGACCCCCATCAAACAGCTGCTCAGCCGCGAGGTAGACGGCAGGATGACCCGGTGCTTTGCTGAGGCGCTGGGCCTCATTCTGCTCAGAGTGGAGGAAGAGGGGGACAAGAAACAAGCGGCCATTGAAAAGATACTGCAGCTGACGGGCGAGAGAGTGCGATGGGCGACACAAACATACCGAGTGAGCAGAATGGGAACTTCTGCAGCGTGGTGTGGCGGACGGACTTGTCGTTTCTGTCTTCAGATCAAAGCAACGCTGGCGACAGAGGCCATGAAAGCGGACAAGCTAGCAGGCATGTGGAAGAGTGAGCACATTTTTGCATGTGTGAGACGCTTCTCCTCTGCTCTTTTGATCTCTCTCTGTGTGTGTGTGCTCGTCAGGAGAGGAAGAGCAGATGAAACGGGGTTGAAGTCCTGAATTGTTCCTTTGTGCGCGTGTGGTCTGGTCGGATTCACTTTTATCTCTCCCACTGAGCAGGGATCTGAAATTGACAAACTTCCTGATTGAGCAGCGGGAGGATGGCACGGTGCCAGTGATGAAGCTGATCGGCTAGGCTGTGTACCGGACTGGTGTGGCTCGTAGGGGGTACTCGTGTGTTGTGGGGCATGCAGGCCATACCTCGCTGCGTACATCTTATATCTGGACGAGACATTACCTATTTGGACGGGTGTACCGGACTGGTGTGGCATGTTCAGACACGGCCGAATGAATCATGACCATAGAGTGAGGCTGTGCGGGATAGCCACTGTGCTTGCTGAGACATTGTGCTGACTGATGAGTCAATCAGCCACGTCTCAACAGCACTAGCCAACAAAACAACCTCAGGCAGGTCACACACACACATAACACAAGGACGTCAAGACATCTGTCTGTCTGTCTGTCTGGATGTCTTGTGCGTCGGTGTCTGTCCCCCATAATATGACACAGGTCCCCCATAACACGGCAGATGGTCTGTCTGTCTCCTCACACCCTCCCTCATTCATTTAGCCAACCACTCGGCCACTCCCCCGTTGGACTTGGTCTCTCTTCGTCCATGGCCAGCCGACCGGCCACCATCAATCCATCACACGCTGAGCTGATCAATCTCCAGTGTATCCTTCCGCAGTGGCGGCAGGGGCTCTCTCGGCGGCGGGGGCTGCGACCCACGCAGCAGCCTTGCGGGAAACCAGCTCTTGGCCAGCCGGTCTCTCTCATCTGCCTCCTCCTTCTGACGCCTCTTCTCCTCGGCAACCTCAACAAGAAGTGTTCTCCACTGGTGGTGCCCTAGCACCTCCTGCCGAGAGAGGCCGGGGAAGTTGGTGGCGAAGACAGAGAGGTCCTGCTCGGTGATACGTGATCGTGACGCCTCACGGAGGCCCATCAAATAGGTCACATGAGGGTCGAAACACTGACCTGAATGAATGAATCAAGTGGGAGAGAACATGGGAGTGCAGCGTATGTGTTCATCGATTGATTGCGTTGTCCTCCCGTCCGTCCTTACCCCATGTAGCGTTCCACACTCGAGTGGCTCTGGCTTTCGCCTCGCCGGCTGGCATATGTCCCATGCTCTCGAGGCGCCGTCCTGCCCTCGACTGTGCCTCAGCAACCTCCACTGAGACGCCTAGCTTCTCCCCTATGTCGCTGAAGCACCGCTCCAGCTCGCCCCTCAAGTCGTCGGGGCTCTCATACTCGAGGGTCGTGTCCTGATCTCATACATATCCATCCGCATGCACATCCACACGCACACAGGGCAATGCATGTCTCTGTCCTTGTCGGCGTGTGTGCATACATCTGCGATGTCTCTGAGCCGCGGCACCGCCTCGCGCAGGCACTCATCCTGGGCCTCCACGTGGCCCTTCTGAAAGAGATGCTCGGCTGCCTTGGCGGGCGTGAGCGTCCGCAGGGTGGGGCACGACACGAGACACAACAGCTGACAGACAAGGGGGGGGAGGGAGGCCATGCAGGCAGGCGGACGTTGATTTGTGCACTGGCCGCCGTCCTTGCTTCGTGTATGTGTGTGTGTACCTGTGCGACGGCCTCTGCGGGGAATGGTGCGTACTGCACACATGTATGGAAGTGGGCGATGTCCTCATCCGTCAGCAGTCGCATGTCCTCCTCTAAGCCCAACTGACATTACAACCACCCACAAGACAGACACCAATCGCCGTGTGCCACGGCCACCTTTGGTGAATCACCTCTGGCTCTCCATGCGCTTCAGCTTTGCCGCACAGCCATGTTAGAACCGACCCAACCACAGTCTTGAGGGACAAGAGCAGAAACACCAGTGCCACGGCCAAGTAAGCCACCAGGACAGCCACAGCAGCCCCAACACAGCCCGACTGTACAAGTATTCCAACCATGAGAAAAAGCGACACAGCGACGGGCGGGGGACCTGATTCTCCGGGGTGGCGTAGTGCGCCGCAAGGAAGCCCCACGAGGCGACGAGCACAGCAAATAGCCCGGCATTCTCAAGCTGATTCAATGTCGCCCACCTGCAATCAATGCAAAGTGGCCACACGTACTCATCTCGAGACATCATGCCATGCAGCCACACACCTTGGCTCAGCAGCTGGCCTTACCTGTTTGTCCACAGTGTGTCGTCAAACGGTCTGCACACCGACTGCACCCCGAACACCAGCGCACAGGCCAGCACCATCACCACGAGCTTCCCGCCCCTGTCCGCATAATAAAGAGCACACAGAAAAGTGAAAACCCACACCTGAACACGCACGACGTACGTATAAGCGGTCGTCTTCACACTCCCCGACCCCCGTCCACAGGCATGCACCTGAATATGGCCCATGCCTCCCACATGTAGAATCTCGGCTGGTAGCCCATCATGAGGTACCCCAGGGCCCGCCTGTACCGCGGCCGGTGCCTTGCTCGCCCCACGAGGCCCATGCTGACGGACACGACGGTGGGGAAAGCGACGGTGTATGCGAGTACGCCTGGTGTGGCGAAGGATGCGATGAGGTGGAGGTGACGGTCCTCGCCGCAGAATATGTCGGGGTCGGCCACCAGCCGATGGCGGCCGTCGGCAAACTCTCTGTATTCACAGAGACGACGGACACACAGATGGATGTGCCGTGCCAATGATGGGCTTGCGTGTATGTGTGCGTGGATTGGCCTCGATGTACCTACCTGCATTGCCATGCGAGTGAGTAGTATCGCGTCGCAGGGCTGTAGCACAGATACAGCCACACAAGGCTGGATAACACGAAGGAGCCTGTAGGGCCAACAGAGAAAAAAAGAGAGTGAAGGCTGTTCTGTCTCCACATTTAATTTTGCCATACATACAAGTGACATTTCTGGCGAGTTCCTTGATGCTGATGGCACCATGGTACTGTCTGTACACCCGCACGCCCACATAGTACGCCAGCCACCCAACCACAATGACGCCCAGGCCAGCGAAAGGGGCAATCACCAATACGCGCAGATGGATGCCGTACGCTGAGGGGCTGCAGGCAACAACGCAACAAGCAGCGATATGCATATCAGATGCATTCATGGGTGCGCCTGACGTGCTGGTTTGGTCGACCGCCTCTTGGCCCGGCCGCTCGTCGATGGCCTGGGTCTCGTTAGATCCCGTCTGCAGCCGACAGATGCCTTCAGTAATTTCCCTCTCGGTCAACGGGGCATTGGCGAGACAGTCCCAGGCCATGGGCCACTAACACAGACACACAGGGAGGGAGACACCACACATAGGCTCGCTCATGGAATCTACCTGTGTGTGTGTGTGGCCCTACCTCCTGTCCGAAGGGAATGTTGCTGTGGGCGTAGCGGATGGAGGACGACACCATGGCGACATTCTCCTCGGTGGCAAAGGGAGGATCGTATCTGGGTGCATGAAAAGATGGATGGATGGAGACATACAACCAGCGGTCGATCGATTGACTGGCTGAGTCAGTCGGTGAGGGAATGAGCGAATCGTCCGGCTTACGCGATGCAGGCCGCGAGTGTGAGGACATGGAAGATGATCCGCAGCTGGATCAGCCAGATGTGGAACTGCATAAAGACGACATACATGCATGGCGTGGATGGGTGGGTGCGCTCGTGTGTCGCCTCTTGAGTCAGTCACCTCCAGCTTCTTGGGCGTGGGCTCTATGTGGATGATGGTCACCAGGTAGGTGACTCCACCGACATACAATATCACTACTGCCAAAGGAGGCGGACAGAACGGAACAACAGGCTACAACGTGTGATGGATGCGCTCAGACCGTGTGTGTGTTGGTCACTGACCTACCTCACCGAGAGCGAATCCGACAGCCCCCGCCACCCTATCGGCCGTCCCGGGGCAGCTCTGGCACAGACCATCCGACGAGTACCTCCTCGTCAAACCAGCCTCGCAGTTGAAACACAACACTCCTGACACACACACACGCGTCAAGTCAACACACCCTCATTGCCCCAGCAGGCTGGCATCGTGAAACGCTGGCTGACCTTGGTGCTCCGGCATGCATTGTGAGCACTGCATGCAGGTCTCGTGGATGGGGCACCGCTCGTACGCAATGGGGTGGACGGTATCGTTGACACTCAAGGGATCGACCACAGAGTACCAGCCCCCACCGGACAACACGGGGTCTGTCTGTCACGTCACCAAGCAGGAGACAGACATCTCAAACCACGACAAGAGCGTCCAGCCCACTCAGCCCCACCTTGCACAGCGGCGTGGTGGATGCATTGGCGGGTCCGGGACAGTATACGTCCCCCTTGCACGGCTTACATCCGCCCTCCTGCCCCTCCTTACGGAAACCCGCCAGGCACCGGCACGAGGAGACCATTCGGCTTCCAACCTCATCCAGGGTGGCAGAGTGAGGGGGACACTGACAATTGACAGACAACACAGAACAAAGACCAAAGCAGCACCGACAACCATCGAGGCATTCTTATGTAGGGCCCCTCTTTGCTGACACCTCACCGGAAGACACTCGACCGACGCGTAGCCTGGAGCGTACGTGTCGGCAGGGCATGGCTCGCAAGCACTCCGAGATGTGTTTGAGAAGGTGCCAGGAGAGCAGGGGCTGCATGGGCCAGCCACCAAAGGAGGCGGCGGGCCGCCGGCAATGGGAGGAATCGATGTGACTGAATCGTTGGCCAGCCGCTCAGTGTAGCCGGGCGGACACTCGGTCGCCGCTGCCGTCTGGAGGAACCGGGGCAGCCAGACTGTTGCCTTGGAATGAGTCCCTCCCTCTTCCACATGCGTCGGCCACCCATCCATGATTCCATAGAGTTGCCAGGCTGAGGGCCACTCTGGCGAGGCTCCCCCAACACACAGGGACACCAAGCAAGCAGCAACCAGCAGCAAGCACGCCTCAATTGGGAGCATTCTCTTGACTGTTTGGCGCAACGGCCGTTTGTGCGAGCTTAGCTGCAGGGCTGCTTTCCCCCCAGTCATGTTGCCGCTCGTTGTGCCGTTCATCTTGGCCTGCCTGAGCCACACTGATGCATTCACTTGGAGATCTCCCGTTTCGTGGCATCATGATGCGAGGCGGTCTGCGGCGCGGCCTCTGCAGGCGTCTCTGCGGGGGTTGCAGCAGATCGATGCCACGCTGAGGCTCAAAGAGGGGGTCCAGGAGGTGCTCACGGACCTCCTTTCTCAGGAGAAGATGACCAGCGAGGTACGAGGGAGGCACATGGTGGGTCACACATCCTTAAGATGAGATGCGCAATTTTTTTGGATGTGAGCGTTTCCTTCCCTCAGGTGTGCCAGGTGACAACGGCTGAGTCGGCAGAGTTCACCGGTGGGCACTTACACACAGCAGCGAACTCTCGCGGACAGATCTTCCGTTGGTTGCCTCTCATGTGTTCTTGATTGAGGTATTCAGGACTGCTGTTTGAGCCTCAGCCATACAGCATATCGACTCGCCACGGGATGCCGCAGGAGATGGAGCACTACCATTTCGACCCATCCTACGCCATCGTCACCGTCCCCGCCACCATTATGTTCAAGGCCAAGTGCCTCAGCCCATCACGACTGTGTGCCGTCTTCAAGGTCAGCGAGTGTGTCTTAAAACAGGAGGGGAGCAAGCGATTGATTGATTGTGGGTCTCTGGGTGCAGGTGTCTGGCGTGAAGGACCTCAGCAAGGTGACGCCAAAGACTTCTTCGCTATCGTCGCTTGAGCAGCCTCCTGCGACAGCCGGACAAGACAGGAAGGTGGTTGATGTTGATGAGAGTGACAGTGGTGGGTTGCCATGGGCGTCTGACGAGGGGGACGAGGCCTTGCTTGATGATCTTACCGTGCCCTACACGGTGAAATGAGGAGGGCGGGCTGATTGACGGCAGAATGCATTTATGTAGTACGTACGGCAGACGAGCCGAGACGGTAAGATGTGTTCTGCCTGCGCTATGTGGATCCCAACTGGGACGCATTCATTCACTGAGAGTCACACCTGTGTTCGTTATATAATGGTACACCCATGCATGCCTGCACGTCTGCATCATGGCATGGCATCGCTTAAACTTCAACTCCAGCTTCACTCACTCACTCACTCAGATTGGAAAACGCACCACACCGCGGACAGACAGGGCAAGGAAGGAAAACGCATTCGAATGTGTGTACCTAGCTACGTACACGCGCTTGTGTGTATGTTATGTGAGAAGGCTCGACTCACTCTCATTGCAATCTGTTTAGCACGGGAGGGAACAAAGGGCAGGCACAGGACGATGACTGACGTACGGGTGGGATGGATGGAGAAAAACGTGGAGGAAGAAAAGGCGAACAATGTATGTATGCATGGCTTCCTTCCTTACACTTCCATACAGCCTACCTAGCCCAGCCCCCCTCTACAGCTAGCTGACCTGACGACGATCTAAAGCCATACATCACCCACCCCAGCCAGCCCACACACGCACCGTAGCCACACAGCCATGGATGTGATGCACCACATGACACACACACATTTAGCCAGCCTTTCCTGCAGATCACCAATCAGTCAGCCCAATCAGTCAGTCAGAGTAAGTGTCCCGGTTCGATCCGTCTGAGGGACCTCAGGAGCGTCTCGTACTTCTTCTGCTCCTTGTCGGCATGGCCGCCGCCGCTCTTGCGAGACACGAACTCGGCGTCGTTGGCGTCATCGCCCCCCTCCACCCACTTGTCCCGGACACGCATAATCTGCTCCTCCCATGTACCCTGATGGATGAATGGATGAATGACCGGATGATCGGATGATTGGCTGGCTGGCTGCCCTACGTGCGTTGGTGACCTACCCGCAGAATGACGTGTTCCACATGCACCGTCCTGAGTGCGCCCACACGGTGCGCCCTCGATATCACCTGCTTCTCGACGTCTACACACAACACACACGGACTCGTACCGTACGTGTACAGAGAGAGTGACGCCACCAGACAGGCATCATGCGTTCTGCCCTTCCTTACTGTAGTCGAGTACAGGGTCGAGGATGAATACGTGTGAGGCGCATGAGAGGTCCAGTCCGTGGCTGCCCAGCTCCACACTCAGCAGCAGCACAGACACCTCGGGACACGACGTGAACCGCTCTATGGCCACCTTGCGCTCGTTCGGCGGGGCCTGCATCAATCAAGGCACACACGACACGAGACAGACACGCAGTAGAAAGGATGGAGACATCGCTTAGCGAGAGGAAGGCCTGCCTGCCGTGTGCTGTGCTTTGTTGCCTGCCTGACTTACCTTTGGATAGAACTTGGCACAAGCGATACCTTTCTCAGCAAGCACCGTCGCAGCACACCTGACGACAGCAAGCAACCAAGCCCACCCCACCACAGCACCGCCAGATCCACCCCCACCCGTTTGCTTCCTTCCTTCGTTTCCCACCCCTGGTCATCGTCTCCACTCACCACAGCTGTTCCCACACCTGGGACACTACCAGCAGCTTCGGCTTCCGCCTTTTCCAGTGCAGCCGCCTCAAATGTGCCAGAGGGCGGTTGTTGGGCCCCAGGTCGCCCTTCTCGGCCTCCCTCACGCACTCGAGGATCCGCCGCACCACGTAACGCAGCTTGGAGCTGTGCTCGATCCACGCACGCTCCACATCGTCCATCGGACCGTCACACGTCATCAAATCGGCCTGCTGGCTCAGCTGCTGCTGCTGCTGCTGGGTGGCCGAAGCTGATGCTGATGCTGAGGCGGGTGTGGATGTGGACCGCAGGATCTTGACCTCGATGGACTTGGCCGTGTCGTCAATGGTGGTGGACGGGGGGCTGGGCAGACACGAGAGGGCATCGGTGGATGAGGCGGCCGTCGACACCCCCTGGCTGCTGTGGGAGGGCGAGTGAACCAACGCAGATGCCGACGCCGATGCCGACGCGGACGACGATCCGCCACTCGTGAATGGCGACCCAGTGGTCACATCAGGGGAGCCGCTATCCAGCGATACCAGCGCCATCCTCTCGGTCCCCGAGTCGTCGGAGGTGCGCTGCCTCGTGACGGCCCCCAGCCCCTCGCCCCCGTGATGGTGATGATGCTCCCTGCTGTCTTTGGCGCCCTTCAAGGTCTTCCTGTTGGTGTGGCCGCGGTTGGTGGTGCGGATCTGGGAGGGCTTCCGTGAGAAGGATATCTGGCCGCTGAACTTGAGCAGCAGCCGGCCCCTGCCGCTGGTGGCTGGGGGAACGGCCGGGAGGGGGGAGGACATCTCGTCGTCATCACCGGTTGGGTGGCCATGGTGCGTGTGGGGCGGGGGCGGCTGGATGGGCGGTGGGGGCATGGGGAGGGGCATTGGCATGGCGATGGCCTGCAGGGCCTGGGTCTGGGTCATGGTCATCATGTGCAGGGGGGGATGGCCCTGCTGGATGGCGCCGACCTGCTGACCCTGACCCTGCTGCTGTTGCTGTTGCTGCTGCTGCTGCTGCTGTGTGATCACCTCAGAGAGCCGACCGATCTCGCGCTGCAAGAGAATATACACACACACACATAGACGTGGTGCAGATGGTCAAGAAAGTGGGTGGGCATCTTGACCATTGCGTTTTTGTTTCTCGAGAGGTATGCGGCCTTGACGACTCGTGGCGGCTCGGGTGTGTGTTCGATGGGCGGCTGCAGTCTGTCGAAGAAGTCAGCCTCGAAAGGGTTGGCCTCGCCGCACTCGGGCATCGGACACGTACGCTGCACTCCACGACGCAGCAGCTGACGGCACGGCATGCACACACCACACACACACACACACGAGACAGCAGACGACAGACGATGCGGCGATGGTGCGTGGATGGGTGTGGGTGTGGGTGTGTATGTACCTACCTGGCCGGTGAGGGGGTCTCTCCGTGAGAGGCACTCGGTGCAGCTGAGGTGCAGGTGGGGACACGGCATGATCAGAGGGAACCGCACACGACCGTGGCCTGCACGCACACACACACACGGGGGGCAGATACATCCTCATCCTGCCGTTGTCTGTCTGTGTCTGTGTCAGTCTGTCTGTCTGTCTGTACATTTGTCGCATTGAAATGTCTGCCGCTCGTGGGAATTCACAGCCTCGCACATCTACACACAAAAGAGGCAAGATAATCCATCCACACCGCCTCCCTCCCTCCCTGCAGGTCAGTCAGGTACCTACCTGTTCGATTCTGCGTAAGCTGTCCTCTGTGAATTGGTAAGGCGGCCTGAGCCAGCAGTACTGCGATGGTGGCGGGAGGGGCGGCAGGCCCGCCAAGGTCGCCGGCGACAGGTGGTGCACGAACTGACTCGGGTTCTTACGATCAAATGTCAGCTGCATGCACACACACGCCATACACAGCGACACATCACATGGGGTGTGCGTGCGTACTCTTTCGAGGGGATGTGTGGGTGTGTTGGATTGTGTGGTTGGTTGAAGCTTTGCTGCAGTGGTGCACTGCAGTGCACTGCATACCATGTAGATGGTTTCGCGTATGAAGTTTGGGTGTATGTTGAGGTTGCTGTGGCTGGGGAAGGCGCACGCGTTGCGCAGATTCCATATCGCCTCGTCAGCACGCTTCCGGTTCGCTGAACCAGCAGAGCCACACAGCAACACACTGTCACTGCCGGCTGTGCTGTGTGCGTGTCTGTCTGCACACATAACATACCTGGGTGCAGCAGACTGTCTGGGTTGCTTCTCTCGTATAGTGTGCAGAAGAGGTTGCGCATGACGATCTCCACTATGTCGTTGTAGCTGTTGCGCTCAACCTACACACACACACGTGGTGTGGTGTATTGTGTTGCGTTGTCGTGCTCACCTCGTCCGGCGTGAGTTGAATCTCTGTTTGTTTGAGTGGTGGCAGAAACTGCACCTTGGCCTTGCAGTGCCGGATGACCACACCTCGCAGCGCCTGGTACAGACGGAACCCTCCAACCACCTCACCACGCTCAAACCTGTCACAAAAGGGTAGGAAAATAGTGCTGTGACCTTTTGGCGCGCTCTCTCTCTCACTCTGTGTGAGTGTGTGTGTTTGTGTTTGAGTGCTGTGCTCTTACGGTCTTCTGATTTGCGCGACGAATGCGGGGAGTGGTTTGGTGTTTTGCTGTATGTATGTGGCCTTGTCGAAGGGGACGGCCAGGGGATGTTTGAGGAACCAGAGGAGACTGCACAGACTCGTGAGCCCCTCCTTGGTGGCGCGGGGGTGGGGCGTCCCCGTCATGATCCACCTGATAGATAGGCACACACAACACAGAGAGGGAAAGGATCCTTCAACGCCTCTGTGTGTGTGTGTGTGTGTGTGTGTACCTCCGTTCGCAGACGAGTTCTCTGCAGAGGTCGGCATGGTGGGCCTCGACTGAGGAGCCCATGACGTGGCCCTCGTCTATCACCATCCGCAGCCAATACACACCCAACAGAGGCGACTGACGCCTGCACGCACACACACACACATAAACACACACACACACACACCCCGCCATGCACTCACTTATCGCTGTGTGCTCATGACATTTCCTTTCTCACACTCACCTGTCGAGATATTCCCTCTGCCTCAGCCGCGACATCCCCCTTTGCTGCTGCTGCTGAGTGGTAGGGCTCTCGTATTCGAGAGCATGGTCGTCCCCCGTCACGTCTTCATCGACGTCCATATCCACATCACTCACGTCCCCCGACTGGTCGAACTCAGGCGCCATACAACCACTCGGCCACTGGACGGGCACGTACAGGTCGTTGCCAGGGGTGGATGAGTCGATGACCGGCTGGGCGTGGCCGTCGGGCGACAGTGTGATGGGATGCATCAGGACCTGCTGCTGCACGGCGTGTGTGACGGCGGTCTTGCGTCTCTTAAGGCTGCGGGCGTGGGCGTGGTGGGCCCGCCGCTGGAGGGCCGCCTGCTGCCTCGCTCTGTCCCACACGATCTGGTCCACCGAATTGGCCTCGGCCCTCTGGCCCACCTCCGGCACGGTGATGCGCTCGGGCGACGCCATGTCAGTCGAGTTGCGCTTGCGGACTCTCTCTGAGAAAGGAAAGACACACGGATTGACGGGGGAGGGTGTGCAGTGTCCGACGTACGTGCGTACCAGTGGTTTTGTGCGGGATGAAGTTCTGCTTTTTGCATTTTTTGTATTCGTGTGTGAGGACATTTTGGGCGATGATGACGAGGAGGCATGAGGCCAGCTCGAAGCGGCTGGGGATCCTGGCCTTGGTGCTGGCTATCACCAGGATACGATCTGATGGATGGATGGACGGACGCACAGACAGACAGACAGACAGACAGACAAGGGAGTGTGCCCGTGGTGTGTGTGAAATTCCCCTGTGTGTGTGTGCCTGACTCTGTGTGTGTACCTTTGAACATGTCCCCGAACCATTTCTTGACCTCCGCCACCCAGTGATCCACCATGTGGGGCGGCACAACCTGTACGAAAACCCACACAGGGCAGCAACGCACATTCTGGCGTCTCGTCTCGTGTCCTCCCCCACCCTCCCCCCGCCCAAGCCTCTCGTCTCTCACCACGAGTGTCGCCCTGGAGAGCACCAGGGGCAGCTCAGCACACCGCCGCAGAAGCATGCCGTCCTTGATAGTGCGGCTCACACCACCCACACCCACACCCCCACTGTTGATACCACCTCCATCGCCGTCGCGAGATCGCCCCCGGGTGCGCCGCTGCTGCTGCTGTTGTAGCTTGAGTCGTATGCTCCTCTGGCCCAGCGGCAGATCGTCGCTCCACTCATCCCCCTGACCCTGATCTGGGTCGGGGTCTGTCTGGTCGGCCATCATGGCCAATGCATTGGTGGGAGGGGAGGGAGAGGGGGAGGGGTCCGGGGAGGGGGTGAGCGCGGGGGTGGGCGCGGTGGCGACCATCATCCCTTCTGCCAGATGCTGCTGCAATGGAAATGGCAACGGCAGTGGCAAAGATGGCTGTGGCTGTGGCTGTGGTTGGGGGAGGGGGAGGGGGAGGGAAAGGGGAGGGAAAGAGGCAGCGCTTTCTCCTCCTCCTCCTGCTGCTGCTGGTGGTGGTGGTGGTAGTGCTGTTGCGGTACTCACGTCGATGTCTCGAGCATGCTGGGGAGTCTCGTCGCGTGACGAGTCGACAGCAGGCATAGACACGTCCCTGCCCGACTGCTCCCGGGACAACGGCGGCTTGGATGAAGTGCCGGGGCTTTTGCTGGGCGGTGAGAGAATGTCCGCCAGGGCCTCGATCTGCGGCGGTAGAGAGATCGATGCCGAGCCGGTCAGGGACGATATCTGAAGGCAAAACGAGACGCACACAGAGGTGGGGGATGGGCGTATCCCCCAGCCGTATTGCTCATGTCTGGCTGATCCGCTCACTGACCTGCCTGGCCCCCTCGAGTGCGCCATCAGGCATGACGAGCGTCACATTGCCGCCGTTCCAGTTCCATCGACACAGCGCCCTGTGCCACGAGGGCGGGCTCGTCAACGCTGCGTTGCGACCCCTCGACCGCTTCTTGGCCCCCTTGCCCGCCTTGCCGCCCCCACCACCGCCCCGCGTGTGTGTGGGGTGAAGGAGTGGGTTGCGATGGGGGTCCTCAAACGCACTGGGGGTGCCTGCAGACGGCAAACATCATGGTCGTACGGTGCTGGTGCTCGTGTGTCCTTTGTTTCTCAGCTACTGACTGACTGACCGTAGTCGACGAGTGTGGCGAAGACGTCGCTTGCAGGCATGTTGTAGGTGGGGTGGCCTGCAGGCCACACGCATACACACGCATACACATAGGATGCATGTGACGTGTGGTGCACACACAGGTGTGGTGTGTGGTGCATTCCCTCTGGCCTTGTGCGCACCGCACCGTCGGGTATCTGGGGCACCACGTTGACCGACTTGAGAATCAAACTCAGAATGCACACCGTCTTGCCAAGACCAGGCTGTCGATTAATGACGCATACCGTACACACAGACAAATCAGTCAGCGCAGCGCATGTGCCAAATCAGTCAGTCAGCCAGCCACCCACCTCATCGCAGAAGAGCCCTCCTCTGGGCAGCTTGAGCACATTGCCGTCGCCCCTTTCCCGCCAGCCCCCACTGACGCCCAGCAGCATCCACGAGGCGTCCTTGTTGGTGTGCCGGTTGATGTACAGCGACACACCCGTACCCTCACACACATCGCCATCGCCACCATCGCCATCGCCCTCCTGCTGCGGCTCCTGGTGGTGGGTGCTCATACTGCGGGCGAGTGCGTGGCCGACAAGCGACGGGTGGCTGGCACCGACGGCCGTGAGGGAGAGGGGGTACGCGTCTTCACCTTCTTGCACACCGTCTTCGGGCGGCAGCACCGGGTAGATCTGGTCAAAGAGCCTCTGGAAGATGGCCTCGCTCTCGCCCTCTCCTTGCTCATCACTACCACCCCCACCATGGGCGACGTGGGTGTGCCATTGTGGCCATATGGGCAGCTCCATCCACATGGCAGCGAAGCTCATGGGGTGGCCGGCGTGCTGGCAGAACCTGTAGCACTCGCCCATCGCCACCCCTACTCCGTCCGGCGACTGCTGCCGAGCTGCCCTCTCCCGGTTGCGGAGCCACAGCAGGCTGTGCTGCTGGTGAGCAAACAGGCCGCCCTTGACTGCCTGGGCGCTGCTTGGGTGAGGGGGCGTGGGAGGGGGCGTGGGGGTGGTGCTGGGACGGATGGGCTCGCCTCTGGGTGTGGCGGGGGGTGTGGGAGTGCTGGACGATGCGGGCGTCGCCTCCATGGGCACGGGTGCGTGTCTTGAGGCCGCCGTGTGGTGTAGGTGTTGTGGCTGCATCTCGCTCTCTTCGCCGCGGACGAGGAGTGATGAGAGGTAGAGAGGGAGGCCGGGCACGATGCCCTCGGTGAGCGCAAAGCCGTCGCGACACGTCGACGCTGCACAGCACAGCACAGATGGTATGATGTAACGACATCACAACGCCCCGCACCTCTTGCCCTACCTACCGGTTGCCTGCAGGCTGATGGAGTCGAGTGCCGAAAAAATGAGCCGCAGGTTGTCCTCTGGCAGCCGCAACACGTGGCCCACGGACACCGGGGGATGGACAGATGCTGGTGGGGTGTGGGGGTGGGGGTGGGGGTGGGTGTCGATGTGGGCGGGGCCGCCTCCTCCCTGAGCATGGGGCTGTCGTGTGCCGCACAGCAGCCTGTCGGGCTTGTTGAAGGGCGCCATGTCGTCCTCGACGCGATCAAACAAATCAGACATCTCCTGTACAGACAGAGAGAGGCATCCAGACAGACACAGAGAGATAGCGGAGTGTCATAGTGTTTGTGTGTGTGTGTGTGTGTGTGTATGTGTGTATGTGGCGTCTGTTGCCATTACCAGCTTGCCGAGCTCCTCTGTGTGCTCAAGGCAGCCTGCACACACACAGACACAGACATACATCCAACAACCGAGCACACAATACACACTGCATCCTTCCCTCCCTCCCTCCCTCCCTCCCTCCCGGTGTTGGCCAGGTCCCTCACTCACCAACAACGCCGCAAGTCGGTCTCTCCCCCGCCACGACAGCGCCATTGTTCCCCTGCCGCCTGGCGTTCAGGTCCCTCACATACTCGCGAAACTCACCGAACAGCCGCAGCTCCTCCTCAGCCCGCCGGTCACCCGCACTCTCACTCACACTCACGCCCTCACTCTTGATGGGTTTGAGGTGAGTGAACACAAACATCTCCTTCTCGCGCATCGGCGACCCCAGCTTGAATGAGAACCACCGGCTCAGGTTCATCCACACATACACCTCAACGGCTGCATGGGCGGGGTCGGGATGGTGGCTATCCTGGAGGTCAGAGCCATCCGTTTCCTCAGTATCTGTCGGTGGCGCAGTGGAGGAGGTCGGCCTGACGATGAGTGCGTCGAGTCGGCGGCCATCGCAGATCGAGGCGAGTGCGCTGAGGAAGGGCGCCAGCTCACACGAGGCCAACTGAAGGAAGGTATCAAACAAACAGCACAGCCGAGGGGGAACAGGTGAGTGAGTGAATGGACACAGTAGCGTGAATTGCTTCTCTGTCTGTCCGTTTGTCTGTCTGTCTGTCTGCCTGGCCTGTGTGTGTACCTGTGGTTTGTGCGCAGACAGCCATCCGTCCGCCGCGGGGTAGTGGTAGCACTGTAGCCTCCCCACAGGCACCCACGCGTTCCTCCGCATCGAATGCATCTTACGCAGCTAAGCTACCAGGCCGCCCGCAATGTTGCCCGCAGTCTCAGCCGCCTCCGCAAAGCTGACGAGCACAAGGTTCCACCGTTTGTGCGAGCTTGGCGCAGAAGGGGGGAACCGACTCATGGAGCTTTTGGCGAGCAGAGCACACGGAGGGTCTCCACACCTGCTGGCCTGCCTGCCCGTCAATGAATATACTGAGTGGCCACAGTGATTGACGCTCACAACCAAAGCAGGTATGTGTGGGTGGATGGATGGATGGCGGCTGCGGGAGGAATGAGAGCATCTTCATATGAATCAATCACGTCTGCTTGTGTGCTTGTGTGTGTGTGTATGTGTGTGTGTTTCTCTCCCAGACAGCGGCAAAGCAATTAACACCGAGTGTGAGAGGGAATTACTCTATGAGTTGTTGCTGTGGCGACACAGTCAAACAAGCATCAGAGGAGGCCAAGCAGGAGATGGCGGCGGAGGAGGACGAGGCCATCCACGGGGAGGTTCCCGCAGACACGGACTGCCTCATCTGTTTCGAGACCATCACCTGTGAAAACTACGTCGAGTACCAGACACAGGGCGGCTCCCAATGGCACCCCGCCAAGTTCTGCTGGGACTGCATACAACAACTCCTCAAGGAACAGGTCAGTGACTGAGTCACACACTCACACACGCAACCCAACACTCACCCAGAGATGCAATGCCCCTGTCTGTCTGTCTGTCTGTCTGTGTGTTCACTCAGTTCCAGAAGTACATGGACGGTGTGCAGAACACGGATTGCGAGCGTGAGCAGCGTGCATTGCTCTCCAGGGGTCCGCCCATCCGTGTGCGGGACAAGAACGGCTTCCCGGAGTGCGGCGACGAGGAGGTCGGCCGCCTGTGGCTGTGTGGGGAGGGCCGGGTGCACGAGGGCAAAGTGGAGGGATGTGTGGAGGGGGAGGAGCGCATGAAGCTGTGGAATACGCATAGGCAGTTCATGGTGGAGAAGGAGAACGACAACGACAAGGAGACAGACGAAAGGGTAGAGGGCAGC